GAGCTCTCTGTTTGCCAAGCCTGTGTGAATTTTTACATCCTGATTTGGCACGCTCAAGTTTTTTATTTTTATTTTTTTAGCAGAAAAAGAGTTGATGGCTTAGTGCTTGACAAAGGCTTGGGAGCTCCATGGCATTGGTGCGTGGTGGTAAGCTGATGTGAGCTGGGTGGCTGACTCCTGAGCTTCGCTACCAGAGACACGCCAAGCCGACCTGAAGCTGGCTTGTCTTTTGCCAGCCCTGTTTTTCGGCATGAAGAAAGGAGTTCATTGTTCCAGCAGGAATTTCTTCTAAAACATTTCTGCCTCTTGGTGGATTTTGTTTGGGCAGAAAACAATGAACTCTCATTTTAAAATAGCAAGTTAACCTCTGCTTAGCTCTGTGAGCAAATCCAGATGAAACAGTGACTTATGTGAGCAAGAAGTAAGGCAGGGGTAAGGATGTCTGTTGAAATAATGCTGTTTGAGTAAGTGGTTTAATCTCATGTCCTACCTGTGCATAGGAGTAAGATAAGGTACTTTGAGATGGGAACTTGAACAATTTCAGTTCCAGGTAAGAGTAGCTGTTACAGTGTAACTTCTGTTATTTGCACTGAATTTTTCATGTGGACATTCTAGTAAGGTGATGTCTTCTATTTGCAATCAAACTGTGGTACTTAAATGGTAATAAATATTTCTGGTTTTGATGGGTATTTAAAATTGTCAGTTTTCCTGACCTGATAAAAATGAGTGTGTGGTTTCAGTTTACTAAAAAGAGTAAATGGTTTACATCAGCTCTAATAAAGGAGAGACTCATGCTAATGCAGTAGGGTGGAGCAATTAGAAATCTTGAGCAGCTGTGCAATCTGGTGCAGTTTTTGGAATCATTGGTGTAGTTATACCAGAAAAATAGATGTGGTTTATTATGAGGATGAAGCTACGTAGGATTTTTTCTGTTACTGCATTTCCCTTTTTCTGCTCCTTCTCCAATATAGCACAGTAATTTCTCAAAGGAAGAGATAAGCTGTAAGAGTGACTTCCTCTGCCACTCCTTTTTCCACATCGGAAACCTGCAGGGTTACAAAGGAGGGACTTCGTCAAATTGGATTTGCAGATATTTGCCTTTTAATTTATTTAGTCTAGTGAATGTGCCAGAGGGAGAGCGTTGGGAATGAAAGCTCCATAACTAACCTTGTAGTCATTCACACTGGCATATTGCAGGCTATGTCTGTTCTATATTGTGGAAATTGAGGGACTGGAAGATTTTCAGGGCTGTGCTGGCAGGAAATTGGCTGTAGCTTAAGGTCTGGTGTACTAGGTTGTGGGGGAGAAGAAGGAGGAGGAAATTGAGATGTTTAAATGGACTTTAAGATAGCAGCCTTGCTGAGTTCCTGAGCTTTTGGCAGAGATGGCCATGGGTCCCTCTTTAAGGATGAGCTCATTCCCTAGGCTTTGGGTATAACATCTCAGCTGAGTTATGCAGGTGCCTTGCTGCGAATGTATTGCTTTTGTTGGCAGTAGGCTTTAAGGGACTGGGGAAAGGCTGATTTAAACTTCAGTGTTTTTGGAGGTAAACTGTAGAGCTCCATAAAGTTCACTTTCCTATCCATGTGAGTGAGCCTATCAGTACTTTTAATAAATAGAAAATGAGAGAGGAGGGAAAAAAAGTAACAGTCTTGCTTTAATCAGGAACAAGTGGACTGTCCTAAGAGTCTGCAGGAAAAAAGTAAATGGACTTGGGATTGGAGCAGCCCATTTTTGGGTACGGGTGTGTTATACCATGGGGAAGTTGCAACTCCAGGCACTGAAGCCATCAGCAGTCATTCACCAAGTTTTCTTTGTGTTGGGAAAACTTAGCAGAAAATTTTTTTCTTTGCAGAGCACGATGGAGTTTCATCTGTTTTCCATGGGTGGCTGTATGCTGCTGCAGCGCGAGCTCCTGAAGAGAAATGTCAGGGACATGAGAGGGGACAGGAGCTGCCGGGTGCTACTTGTAGTGTTGTTTGGGAAACCAGGAATGAAGAAACAATGAAGTGCAGAGAAGCCTGAGAGAGCAGATGGTCAATTTTAGGAACTTTGTTTAAAAATGGCTGTTTATTTTCAGTCAGAGGAACGCAGTAGCTATTCCTGAGGCACTGCGAGGGGCTTGTTGGTAACACAGGAGTGACCAGTGTGCTGCAGCAGTTTGTCCTGAGGGGAGGAGGCTGTCAGCTCAGGCTGAACTGAAGGAAGGGGACAGAGCCCACACAGTGAGGAAATAAAACCCTAAATATCTACTAATAAACACTGTGCAAAGCTGCACCTGCGTTATGTGGAGCTGTAGATCTCTTCTGCTTGGCTGAGTGGATAGATGTTTGGTATAAAGCAACCCTGTGTTATAATGTACCTTAGAAGTGGAATCCTTTGTTTGTCTCGCAGCCTGTTTGAGCCATGAATCACTGTGTCTTCTGGTCGTTAGTAAAACAAAACTTAATTTGGCTTGGGCACTGCAGGGATGAAACGTGATTGGTAATGCTGTCTACATTCACTTCAGATGACCATAAATCCCAGATGAAGTCACTTCACTTCATTCCAGACAAGGCTGAGAGTGCAGTGTGTGCTCTGTTGTGAGGATCAGCCTTGCTGGTTGCTGGACGAGGTCCTGCTTAATCCTAAACCTGAAAGAGTATGATTTTGTGTGAGCAGAAGAACTATTGGGTTTGAGCTGTTAGTTTAACTCCCAAGTTCATTTGAAGTTTGTTGCTTATGTTCACAGGTGAAAAATTCAGATAATTTTTTTCTCCTCAGATCCAACTAATGTTAAGTGATGACCTCTCTGGTCTCTAACTCTCTAAGGAGAGAGTTATGTATTGAATTCTCAAACTGGAACCGAAGTGTATAAACATTTAACCTTAAGAAATACATTCTTCCTTTTAACTATTGGGAAAATGAGTTCACCAAACAGAAGACTGAATTTTCAATTACACAGAAATCCTTTCCTCTCAGCTGTATGTTCTTTAATATTTGTCATATTGATGACGTAGCCATCATCTTACAGGATAGAAGGGATGGGCTTTTAAATTATTTTTTAGTGATCTTAGCGGTCGTCTTAATCGTAAAGCAGTAATGCTAGAGATGCAGAAAGGTATTAGATGTATTTCTTATCCTTCCCTTCAAAGCAGTCCTTTCCTCTGTCTTTTCATTCCAAGTTGTCCATAGTTTAGTTTTCTGATCAGTGATACAGTTACGCTCTCTGTTACAGGATAGTGTGACAGTTTGCCAGTTTTCTATGTGAAGGTGAACATGCACTGAGAAGATTAAGGTCCACCTCCTTTTTGAGGAGCAGTGTTCTGAAAATGCCTTTTAACAGTGCCTTGCGTGCACACGGTGTGTGAAGGTGGGAAAGTAGCAGCCACTTTAATGGCGTTTCTGTCCTGTTGCTTAAGGTTTTGCCAGCTGGCAAAAGACAGAGTACCAGCTGGTCCTTCCTGGTGGGGAAGCCCCTAAAGCTTCAGAGCTTTGCGCTGAGAGAGTTCATGGTCACCAGGCACTCGTGAGAGGAGGCAAGGTGAGCAGGAAGGGATCTCTCCATGGGATGGGAGACCCTACTGGGTCTTGGGGATGGTAGATGCTCAGGGTCTGTGTCTCAGAGATAGTAGACGTTCAGTGTCAACAACATTGCCTGCTGAACGTGACACGGCTGAAAAACTGTCTACTTTCCAGGCCATTTGCCACCGTCTGCCCTGGAGCACGCAAAGCCTGCAGTGCCGAAGACCCAAGTGGAGGCCTCCTAAGAGCAGAACTGCATTCACAGTGCCCACGTCTCCCGTTCCTGGAGAAGGCTGTCAGGGTGAAGGCAGCCTCTTGCTGTGAGGAGAAATGCCCAACAGAGTGGAAACTCTCTCCTTAGAAGGAGTGGGGAATGACCTCTGTAGAGAGCGAAAGTGCTGTGAAGTGAGATCAGCGCAGATGTGATTCATGAAGTAAGAGAGGAGGGACAGGGCCTGCCTGGCACAGTAAGGGAGGGGACCAGCAGGGTGGGAGAAAAGCCAGAGGTTACTGCAAGGAAACTTCTTTCCAGAGGGATTTAGCAGGCAGCTCCTGTTCTAAGGCTGTTCTCCGGTGAAAAAGCCATGGCAGGAAGATTCCATGCAGCGGTGACCCGAAATGCTGAGGCTGCGACTACGGATGACAAACAGTGGCTCATCTGTAGGCGGCATCAGTCATCTGTCTCTGTTCCTCACTTGTTCTTCTGCCACGTTTCTGTTTGCTCACCCAGAAGTAAAACACAGAGGACCTACAGACGGTCATCATTAATTTTGTCACTGGGTGCAATTCCTTTAAAGCCTGTTTTTCAACCTTTCATAAACAGAGTAACCCTCTAGAGACGTTCTATTTGGATTTAAATTTAATTTTAGTCTTTAGTGGCTGGGATACAATTTTGGCATTTCTGCTAAGCCAAGTTTCCGTTGTAGCTGCATCAATTTATTTATTTCTAATGAACTTTAAAGAACCTCTTTGCGTTCCTCACCCAGCTCCCTTGGAGCCTCGGACATCACGTCTCACCAAAATGATTTCTGTGTTTTGCATACCTGTTTCAATGTAGGTTTCATCATGATTGCAGGATGCTGGCATTGCATGGGCTGCATTGGGGCTTTCGGCTCTCAAAAATAATATCTTCTGTAGAAGAGTCCAGCCTTCCTAACAATTTCTTAAGGAAACCACAGGAATGCAAACAGAGCTCAGGAGCTGTGACTAGTAACTGCCTGCACGGAGTCAGGGATCACAGATAACGGCAGATTATCAGATGAAATGTTATGGACTTCTAAACTGATGAAACAACTCCAGTCGCTTTTTTTTTTTCCACAGCCTCCACATTAAACATGCAGTGCACTTTCTAAACATCTTTTTACTTGTTTCTTTTTGAAAAATGCATGTGGAAATTTTACATGAAGAAAAGTCAGTTTTGGTCTGTACTGTGCACTTGAAACATGTTCTCAGAATACCTTTCTTAAAGCAACTTTTTTTTTCTTCTTTATTTGCAGGTCAAAATTAAGTTTCTTTTAACTGTCACATAGAAGATGAATATGATGCCAAACAGAAGTAACGCCTCATCCTTTCAGAATCTTGGGTCAGGTAATCAATTAATAGAAATGAAGCTTTTTTGTAAATTTACTGAAGTGTTTCAGGATTTATTATCGATTTTGGTCCTCTCGTTCCACTTACACATAGATAAGATCAGTGCTCTGTTCTTCTGTCTCTAACTCATTTCACCAGCTAAAACAGGGCCACAGCTGGATACACTACAGCCAGCCAGCCCTCCCCCATCTGTTTAATGTCTGGCTGGAATATAAATCAGTGACCCCCAGCTAAAGAACTTAGGAATGACAGAAAAGGAAAGGAATGAGGGGGGGGGGAGGAAGAAGAGAGGGGAGAAAAAAAAAAAAAAAAAAAGAGAATTTTTTTCTTTATAGCCCCTGGCAGCACGTGCTTTGCTGAGTAGGGAAACCTTGAACTGTGCATTGAAGGTTACCAAGTGTGAGTTTGGGCTGACCTTGGGGCAGGACAGATCCTATACAGTTCAAGGGCTGGAGCTCCCTGCCCCGGATGCTATGAAGGCAGCATCAGACAGAACATGCAACAAATCATGGCTTATTCACAAAGCCTCATCCCAGGCATTACCTTACAAATTAACAAAACAAAACATGATCTAGCTTGTGGGAAGAAGTTAAGATTCAGTTAAACGTGCGCTGCAGTCCAGTTGGGATTTAACCTTAAGATCGTGGGCACTCTTACTGGAACTGAAAATGTAGAATTTGCATTAGGTGTTGTAGAGGAAAGTTGAATCCGCATGACTACATGAAGGTATTGTGACCTTTTTTATTATGTATGTTTGGATTTAAAGTACAACGAACCCTTCATTGCTGTAGTGAATGAGCCTGAAAGTTTCCATGAGCTAACTTGTTTTTTGGCAAAAGCAGTTAGTCTTCGCAGAATGAGATGTGCCCCACTGGTGTTGCAAGGGAGTAATAAACAATTATAATGTCCCATTAATGTGTCTGCTAAGCTATTTATATAGGAGTCAATGGAATTTATGCAAAGCCAGTTGAACTTCAGCTGTGTTCAAGTTACAATCTGGACAGTATGTTCTTGATGTGAGATTAACTCTCAGTTAATTTTAAGAGAGATCTGGAAAAGGGAAGAGGAAAGGGTGGATGGAAGTTAGGCTGTGTTGTGCAATGGAAGTATAAGCATACAAGGTGTATACATTGTGCTTTTTTCTCTCCAACAGCTCTTATATCTTCTTCCTCATTACACCACTGATACGATGAGTGCTTGATCTTTTTCAGATGCTTTGTTTTGTCTTGAACACAATCACGTTCCTCCTTTTGTTCATTTGCACTTCATTGCTGCAGTTCATTAGAACTTAAGAAAGCAGTTAAAAATGCCAAGTAAAATGTCACATTATAAGAAGCTGACTCATAGCAGTGATGATCTGACAGAGTTCTTGAACTTACTGGTTCAAAGGCAACTTAATTGTACCATCAAAACGAATGCATTAAAATTACAGCAAATAACATCAGTCAGCTTAAGAAAAATATTAAATTCTGTGCAGTGATAAATCTGAGGTTTGGACCTGAAGCTAAAAGATAGTGTTTTCTGCCACTAGTAGGACTTGTGGTTAACACGTGGTTAGCCAGATATGCCATACACAAGGAGACTTTGTGTTCATAAGATTGACCATTTTTCTGCCTATTGAATTATGTTATTGATGATGATTACCTTAGTTCTGAAATGTACAGATTTATTCCTTAGGAATTGAGGAGAACATTCTGTTATGCATTTAGGCTCACCATAGGTGGTGTAGAGTGAGAACTCATTTCCAGAAGCCTGTTGAATAGGTATATATTGAATGATGCCCAGGACAGTAATCCAGGAGATTACTGTCAGCAACAAAGGTTCCAGAAACAGGGACTCACTCGAAGAACGCATTGCCACCTCCCACCTAATGTTTAAACTGCAGTGAAACTGGATCATCTCTGTTCTGCTCTGCAGTTCCAGCGGGGAGCAGAAATCTAAATTCCGTGTCTGGGTTCGTATAATTGAAGTGGTACTCAGAAGAGGATTAAAGGATCACCTCAGAGGATTTTAAAAGCACTTTACAGGTTAGGATGTTAGGTTTTCTTGCAGAGTGACATTCTGAGATTAGGTTATCCTGAGGTGGTTTGATGTCACAGGTCGAATGCGACTGAGCCAAGAGAAAATCCCAGAGCTGACCCACGTTTCCAGAAGCTGTGCTCAGGGACTCTACAGGAACTGACACTGAAGAGTGGTTGCCTTATTAGCTCAAAGCACAGCGTGGCTCATCCAAGGAGCTGTTGGCAATGTTTATGGTGCCATTTTTACATCAAGGGCCTGTTTATCTCCTGCAGTGACTGATGCTGTCAGGAGCTGAATTCTTTTGTCTGCTGTCTGCAGAGTGGGACTCATAGCTGTAGGCTTGAGCTTGACGTGTCACTGAACAGTAACATCCAGCACAACAAAATTATTTTTTGTCTGTGTTCCACCCCAGCATGTAAGTTACAATTCTGAGCTTAGGTAGTGGACTTGCATTTTGAAACTCCTGTCCATGCTTTTTTTTTTTCCTTTTCTTTTTTTTTTTTTAATGCTCATATGATTGTTATTGTTCATGGATCCTAACGTTATACTTGCTTGGGACAATCCTTTCCATTTTTCTCTGCAGATGTAGTTACATAGATTTTTATTCTAAGAATATCAGAGTGCTAAGCTGAAACATCTTTAAGAACAGGTGTTGATTTTCTGTGAAGCTTTGCATGGCAGACCTTGGAGCAGAAAGGTAGCCAATGCTTTGTGAGCTTTGAACTGAGCTTTATTGAGGGCTCAAATGCATTAGTTGCACAAGCTAAAAGAAAAAGTCACCCAGAACAGGACCTGTATCCTGAAAGAATTGCATTCAGTTCTTTCCTTTGCTACCAGCTTTGTATCTTCTCTGTGTATCTCAGTTCCTCAGCTGTAAAAAATCAGGAAAATAACATCTTATGAGACTCAGGCTTACAGAAAGACTGAAAGTCCTGCAATGGATAAGACAACAAGGAAAGAGTCTGATATCTTCCCAGCTCTATTGTTGGTCTGCGATGTGAATTTGGTAATGACTCTACTTCTTTTTTGTTCTGTTATGCTACAATTTTTGCTAAAATAGAGATTAGAAGATTGCTTATATCTTGCTTTCTGTAATGAGCTGAGACGTTTATTACAGGCATGATAATGTTTAGGAAAAGCATTCTTTTCAAGTTAATATGCAGACATACATATACAAGAGGTTACTTATTCACTAAGAACTTTTTCTTCCTGTTTTCTCTTCCTTGCAGATTCCAGTAAGATTATGGCAGAGTACAGCCACACACAAAACCAGATGGAATTACAAAATGCTAGTTTGGGAAAGGGTTCTGTGGTGAATTCCCTTGAAAACGGTCTCCAGGATATTATGGAAAACCTCAACACGAAGAAATATTCATCAAGTCTCAAATTTAAAACAAACGGGGACTGCGCTGGTTCTTACTTAACCCTTTCACAACCTATGATGGCTAAACCCAGTCCTTCCACCAGTGTTAAAAATATACACTCTGTTACCAAAATTCAAGGAGGCAAGCTCTTCCCTTGTGAAAGTCCGTATCTTCCAGATAAAAGCTTCTCTGTAAAGCATTTGAGTTCCCTGTCAGGCACATCTCCATCCCTCAGTGGGTACAATTTAGGAAGGACAGACTTTGATATTCATGCCAACAGAGAAAATGAAAAAGCTCTTGGACATGCAGATAAGTTTTACTACTCTAAGTATAGCCAGAAGAACAAGTCGTATGACAATGTCTACTTGCCAGGAATGCTGGACACAAAGAAGATCTCAGGCTCTCTTCTTACAATGTGGAATGGCAGCTCAGGGAGTGAGCTGATGCTTTCCCCTGTTGGCAATTCAGGGGCAGCCAGCATGCCTTCTAGTCCCAAGCAAGGTCGGAGAATGAATATTGATGATGGTCTGACCCTTCATGCAAAGCCAGTTAAACACAGGGATGTGATGATGGAGACGATGGCCTCACGCCCTAGGAAATACTCTGGTGGATCTCTAAGTCATATGGGAATGTACAGCCGTTCCCTACCCAGGCTTCATAAATCAACCGAAAGCCAATTGATGCCATTAAGTTTGCCCCCAAGAAACTCTTTGGGTAATACTAAAAGGAAAAAACTTGGAGAAAAGGATCTACCTCAGAATGCTTTAGATGCTGATAATTACCTGAATTTTTCTTCATGCAGCTCAGGGGTTTTACCACATGCCAATTCATTCTCTGGGAATAATCCCTACGTTAGTTCAACTCTCAGTGTTCCTGCAAGCCCTCGAATTGCTAAGAAAATGCTTTTAGCATCTTCTTCCTCGTATATTCCTGATGATTTTGATAGACTTGGACTCTCAGGCACGAGTCCCAGTAGTTCATTCTCCCCTGTGGATTTTGACAGATCGTTCTCTGTCAGGAGAAACCTCTCCACCAGTTCCATGGAGTTTGATGATACAGACCTGGAAAGTTACAGACAGACACCAAACTCACTGCAGACTTCTGTGAGAGAGCGTAAGAACAGCATCAGCTCCATTTCAGGGAGAGAAGACCTCATGGACTATCACAGGAGGCAGCGGGAAGAGCGGCTCCGGGAGCAGGAGATGGAACGCCTGGTAATTTCCTCCTTTCCATTCAGTTTTTCATGGCTGTTGGTACTTCCAGTTCTATCCATTGTGAGAGTGTAGCAAAGCATACGCTGGTATCTTTTGAAATGTAAATTTTGTCAATGTCAGATGTATTTTTTTATTACTGTGGTCCATTAAGCTAATGATTAAATGGCATACTACTCTGTTAGCTCAGACGGATAGTACTGTTCAACCATCTTAAAGAAAAAAATAAGTTGGAGTATACATAAATTGTGATCATTTGTCCTGCGGGCTCTGTTAGAAGCCACAAGCTACACTGTAAGTATCTAGCACTTTGGTTTTAGTTGATGGCACGGCTTTGTGGTGAGTGGGTAGGATGAACCCATCTCCTGTAAGCAGCTCAGAGTCCTGTGTGCTGTGCTGTGAAGTCACGTATACGTTGGTGTTGGTTCGACGTCTGTCATCAGCTTACCCTGCCTGTGGTTTTACTGTCTGAGTATTTTCATTAAAATGCAGCCATTCTTGCTTTGCTTCTGCTATGAGAGAAGAGGAGCAAAATGGGACAGAGGAGCTTCTCTCTCTGCAGAGATCTGTGGTCAACTAAAACTGCATATGGCCTCAGCCCTCAAATACACTGGTAGTGAGGTGTGACTTTTATGTGTTATTGAAACAACTTTTAGGCTAAAAATAAATAAATAACTGTTCTTCAGAATAGTCAAGGAAGATGTCGTAATTGAATCTCCTTAAGAGAATGCTCAGTAATTCTTGAAAGTTCTTGCAGTGACTACAAAAGCCATCTGGCCCTATTTGCATGCACTCATACTGTGCTGATTTTACCATTCACAGGGAAACAGATCATTTCGTGAGCCAATTTGTGTTACTGAGTCTTAAATTCGAGATGTTAACTTCATATCTGTGCTTTAATTCAAATGCTGGTAGGTTTGAGCAAAATGGCCATGGGATGTTGTTGCATCTGTCCTACAGAGTCGTTGTCTATGTGCTCCTTTGTAAGGCACTGTGAAGGTGCTCAGCTTCATGTGCTCAACCACGGCCAAGTGATCAGGGCGGTCCTCTCCTTCCTGGGACAAGTGCTGCTCAGTGCTGGCTTCGTTCTGGTGTCTCGGGCCATACTATGAAGGGTGGGGTGGCCCAGCTGCCAGATCATGCCCTGAGAGAAAGGAGGTTTCTGCAAGCAGAAGGAAAACTACATGAGGGTTGTCTCCCTCCCTCTCCTTGCTGTTGGTCCACTCCTTTTTGAAATCTTCCCTCTGTTCGCAGTCGTGGTGCTTGACGTGTGCAAAGTGGTGCTGACTTTTTATCAGAGAGTGTTCCAGACAGTGCTGTTGTAAAACTCGAGCAGAAATCAGTCCTGAAAGACACTACAGTGGGGTGTATTTATATTTCAAGGAGAAGAGTTTTATTTTTTGCGGTGAGGAACTGAAGGTACAGGGTTGCTTTTGTATTCAGTAATGCTAAAAATTATTATGGTTTTATGTTTGGATGTGATGGCTGCTTAATTTTCCTTCCACTGTTTCTTTACTCACAGAAAAATAGTCCCTTCAAGTTCTGACTCTTTCTAAAGAGAATTTGCCTCAGGTTTTTCCAAGCATGTCAAAGTTGATGAAAAAGCGGTAGTATTTTCTGTGTGTATCACATAATTTGAACGTGAAAGAAATTCCCCTGGCTTGAGTTTATCTTCTCAGGATTCTGCTTGATTTCCCCCTCTCCCCCCTCCCCTTTTTTTTTTTTTTTTTTTTTGAGTTAGCTGGTTGAAGAGCTGCATGTAAGGAGAACGCCTCCTTCCTGGCTTGAGTAGCCCCCAGATGAGTTTTCAGAGCTATGAAAGAAAGGAAGGAATGTAATTTACTTTCTTTATTTATTATTTTCTTTAAATCCAGTCACGTAATGCTTATCCGCAAACTCTGCTGTTTTATTTTTGTCCTTCTGGGAGGATGGAAACATGAGTGTCCAAACAGAGTCCTCAAGTATCTAGTCTGAGCTTCCAAAGGACAGCTTGATCTAATTTTGTGGAAGGTGACATGGATGAAGATTGGCAATCCAGGTCTGCTCAAGCCTATCTTGGGAAGGAAGCAAGGGAATAATAACAGGACACAATACAACCACTAGATAAGTGCCTTTGGGTAGCACATCTGTGTGCTTTGAATTCGCAGAGATGGGTTAAAGTCCTGACTGAGTACCTGGTGGGTAAATGGCAAGGGAAACCCAGTCTTTTTAAGCATTACTATTCAACTGATATAATGTGCCTTCAAAGCAAAGTATGAAGGACTAATTGGAGACTTCTTCAGAAACGAGAGCCTCCTTGCAGAGGATCAGACCATGCTACAATGCAGATAGGAAGTGGAGACCATCCTGGCTGGCACTCCATAGCTGTCCTGCTGGCGTGGAGCTAATGGGTTGCTCTTGCCAGCTCGTGTTCTTTGAGGTGCATTCAAAACAGCATGTCTAGCAGATCGAGGGAGGTGATCCTTCTCCTCTTCTCTGCCCTGTGAGGCTCATCTGGAGAACTCTTTCTGATTCTTGGCTCCCGGTTCAAAAAGAAAAGGAACTGCTGAAGAGAGTCCCATGGGGAGCTATGAAGAGGGCACTGGAGTATCTCCAGTACAAGGAAAGGCTGAGAGTGCTGGGACTGTTGAGCCTGAAGAAGAGAAGACTGAGGGAGGATCCCATTGATGTTTATAGATATCTAATGGGAAGGAGTCAAGCGGATGGGGCTGGGCTCTTTTCAGTGGGGCCAGTGACAGGACAAGAGGCAATGGGCACAAGCACAAACTGGAACACAGGAAGTTCCATGTGAACACGAGGAAAAAGTTTTTTACTCTGAGGGTGACAAGTTGCCCAGAGAAGCTATGGAATCTCCTTCTCTGGAGGTATTTAAAACCTGCCTGGACACTTTTCTTTGTAGCCTGCTGTTGGAAACCTGCTTTATCAGGTTGGTTGGACTAGACGATCTCGAGAGGTCCCTTCCCAACCCCTGTGATTGTGTGGTTCTCATCTGAAGTTTTCAGTAAAGCCTCTGCAGATGTTGTTTAACCTGGTGTCTGCCCTTGATCTCTTCCCTTTATTTTCACTCCTTTTGTTGTGCTGTTGGTTTTTTTTTTTTTTTGTTTTGTTTTGTTTTGTTTTTTTCCCATACAAATTATTCTGTGAATCTTATGTACATTTAGTTTGCTTTTTAAGTGACAGAAGCCACTTGGGACATTTGCATTTTGAGCTGCTGCTGCTGTCTGCTTGTGAAACCAAATGATCTCCCCTCATCATTCAGAGAAATAAATATACATGGAAATTTAAAAACACAATACTAGTGGTGAAAATTCACAGGACTTTTTTTTTTATGATGAAAACAGAAGATTTTAATGTGTTCCCATACATCAAAGAGAGAAGACTTGTATGTACCTGTGTTGTGTTTGTTGTTGTTCCCTCTCGTAGTATCATTAAGGTTGGAAAAGACCTCTAAAGATCTAGTCCAACCATCAGCCCATCCCCACCATGCTCAGTACATGTTCCTCAGTGCCACATCCACACAGTTCTTGAACGCCTCCAGGAATGGTGACTACCATCGCCCTGGGCAGCCTGTGCCACTGCCTCATTGCTCTTTCTGAGAAGAAATGTTTGCTAATATCTAACCTGAGCCTCTCCTGGTACAACCTGAGGCCATTCTCTCTAATTCTGTCACTGATATCCAGGAGAAAAGGCAATGAGATAGCCATCTCATTGCAGCCTTATTTAAGATAGTTGTAAAGAGCCATAAGATCTTCCCCTGAGCCTCCTCTTCTCCAGATGCAGCCAGACCCATCTTGTCACCTGGATGTGTATACAAGCTTTGCATGAGTACATGGCACAGTGAGCTGTTGCTGGAGATGGTTGATCCGCCTCATAAACAAGGGAAAAACTTAGCACTGGGATCTAAGAATTGTCAGTGAGATTCAGCTATTGAATTTTTTTTTTTTAAAGAGGAAATCTCTTTCTTTTTTTTTTTTTTTCTTTTTTTTTTCCTGTCTGAGATAAAAGGCAAATTGTGGTGGATGCTGGAACTGAAAGGCTGTCATTCTCCTCGGTCTGTGGGGAGCTGACTGTGCACTGGCACGGACAACAGGGCTAGAGATAGTAAGGCCATCTGTTGTGTTTGATACTCTTCATTTGAACAGCAGCAGCCTCAGTTTTGTGCTGCTGTTTTGGGGCAATGCAGTGCTCTTCCTCTAGGTGGAGGTAGATACCTAAAAATGAGCGGTGAAGCGTCGACCCGATCCTGCCGTAAGCCAGCTGTCGGTCTGGACCTAAAGCATATGGCTGTAAATTAAGTTTTACTGAATGCGAGAGTCATGCTGGGAGGGATTTCAGCTTATATGGCCAGTGACCTAACAAGCAGCAATAGAATTAGAAGAGCTTATTCCACAGTCCATGCAGACGGAGGAGCACTGAATTTCATTACGTTTATTCGGCAAGTAGGAAATGTGGAATTACTCTGGGTATGTCAAGCACTTTGCATTGATTCATTACAGTTTAGCAAGATGAGCTAATGTGAGGGGGTATTAAATGGAAATATTTTGGAATTGTCAAGGTGGTACCGTTTTAAAATTGCAGTTATGGAGCTTATATAAATATCCATATAGATTGGAAAAATCTTCTGTATGTGTTTTATAAATTTATTTTGGCACTGCATCTTTTTATAGATCCTTTAAACATCAAGTGCCCAAGCCGTATTTAAAATATTGGTGACTTGCCTCTTATAGGACCCCCAGGCAAGCGTATCATAGCTGGAGGATTACTTTTCCCACCACTAACACTGGACAGTCTTGGTGGCATTACAGAGTTGCTGTTTAACAGCAGTTTGGTTTAGGAAAATAGAAAGTACCATATAATAAAAACAAACAAAAAATCTGCAGAGTACTCCTGAGCCCTTTGCCCATTGCTTTCTTGCTTTGCTCCCTTGCTGCCTTCTTGCAGCTCTCGTGCTTACGGTGCCCTGTTGTGCAAGGCTCCTTGGGTATCTGCCAGGAGAAGCCAATGTGAAACACGAGCGCTTTCTGTGAATCTGGTGCTGGTGCTGATAGCCTCGTGACCTCGAGACTGAACACAGCAAAACAAAGACTCAAAAGGGTTGAATAAATGAGGCTGAAGTGAGAAAGTTTTGCAAATTAGAGGAAAGAGGAACAATAGCAAGTGAGTTGCTCTCAGCCTCAGTTGGCAGTCTGACTTGGAACCTTACTTCAAGCGAGAAGGCCTGGGGACTTGACTGATCTCCTCCATGTTCCCTCTGCCTCCTTTTCCTCTTCCTTTTTGACTTGCTGCTGTTCAGCCCTTAGCTTCAGAGCTGTAATTTTGCCTGCACATGAGGGTTTTAAAAAGCGATGGAAGCAGAGAAAGAGCAGCAGCTTCCTCTGAAGACAAAGGGAGCTGTAGCTGCACCGATTAGCTGCAAATCTTGTTAGCTTCAACCGCAGAGGACAGACTGCACATGTATTTTTAATGAAATCTTGGGTTGTACAGTTACTAATGGCACTTATCTAAAAAGCTTCCTGCTTGCCACAGCTGATTAACAAAGTCTTGCCATGATACCTAGATACCACCTAGCCTCTACACGTTTGTAAAATCCATGTAGGTCGTTGTGCAGCAGATGAACAAATCCAGGGATTGCCAATATGGTTGCCTTTGAAAGATGGGGAGTTACTTGTCTCCGTTGTTTCACGCTATTTTTCTTAGCAAGATGCTAGGTATGTCTCCTAATGTCATTGTTTTGCAGTAACAGAACAGGGTTGTTGTCCCCTTGTCAAATCTTCTAGCAGCTAAATTTCCAGCCACTCAGATGTGTTTATGGATTTATCAAAGCTGGTACTGATGAAACTGCTGCAGCAGCAAAAGCACGAGGCCTGTGTACCCCTTCTTGTAGCAGGAAGCTGATAGAATCATAGGATCACTAAGGTTGGAAAAGACCTCTAAGACCACCTAGTCCAACCACCAGGCCAAGCCCACCATGCCCACTAAAACATCTCTCTCAGTGCCACCTCTTAAGGCTCTCAAACACTTCCTGGGACAGTGACTCCACCACCTTCCTGGGCAGCCTGTGCCACTGCCTCACCACTCCTTCTGAGCAGAAAATTTTCCTAATGTTCAAGTTGAACTGTGGAAGGTTCGAGTTAAGGCCATTTCCTCTCATGCTATCACTGTTACCTGGAAGAAGAGGCCAAGCCCCACCTCACCATAGCCTCTTTTCAGGCAGTAGAGAGTGATAAGGTCTCCCTTGACCCTCCTGCAGACTGAACAATCCCCATTCCTTCAGCTGGTCTCCTTAAGATTTGTGTTTCAGTCCCTTATCAACTTTGTTGCCCTTCTCTGGACACGCTCCAGGGCACTGATGTCTTGCAGCGACTGACCCAAAACTGGAAGCAGTACTTTAGATGCAGCCTCACCAGAGTTGAGTAGAAGGGAACGATCACCTCTCTGCTCCTGCTGGCTGCACTATTTCTGATACAAGCCAGCATGCCACTGGCCTTCTTGGCCACCTGGGCATATTGCTGGCTTGTGTTCAGCTGGCTGTCAACTAACACCCCCAGATCCTTTTCTCCCATGGAGTTTTCCAGTTACTCTGTCCCAAGCCTGAAAAGATCCTCTGAATATATATATAAGGATATTTTTAATCTGTTAGAAAGTGCATTTTTACAGGAAACAGTCTGAAAGAAGACTCATCAGGCTCGATTCAACATTCTTCTCTCCCTCCCAGTTTTAAACCAAATTTACACTGTTTGACATACCTTTTTTATCTGCTGTATTCAGTGGCACAAGTTGTTGAGTATTTCTTGCGAAGTCATTGCTTGGATTTTCATGGATTTCTGCTCCTGTATTTTTCATTGCAGGGGTGCTTTGCTAGCTAGCTGCTTGACTTGGAAGCATGTTCTAGAACAGCTGAGTGCAGGTGTGCTGGAGCTGGAGCAAGCTGGCCGAAATGAAGTGATGAGAATAGAGTGTATAAAATAACCACTCGGCTTCCTGTCTGTAAGCCTGTCGGTGCATGTCAAAATAGAAGTGAGAGATAGCGGCATTTCTGTAATGTGTCCAAAAGTTTTTGTAGCCTGGCAGAGGTTTTTCCTGTGATTTTTGAGTTTTCCTGGCCACGTGAGACTTGGGGAAGGAAGAATCCCTCATTGGGCTGCTGACAAAAGGACAGGTTTGCACTAGCAACTCCTTACCTTTGTGCCCGGCTTGGGATGAGCAGCAGCTGTAGTTGGAAGCGCACTGTTTGCTGTGATTGCTGAGAGGCTGGCCTGGCGTAACATGATATATATATATATATCCTTTCATAGCAGGGAAGGATGGGACTTTGTGTCCTAGTGCTGCATTTCCCTGTCTGTAACCATCGGGGTGATTGTATTGAGGGGCCAGGCCCTGTGCTGTCGCACCAGCATCATAGAATCATAGAATATCCCACGTTGGAAGGGACCCATAAGGATCATCGAGACCAGCGATCCCAGCCAGCACTTGCACAGCGCTTTAGGAATTGGGTTGCGTGGCCAAAAGACTTGCTGAGAGGGAGGGTAACGGCTTTGGCGGGGTGAGGGAGTGGACAGAGTGGCCGGCAGTAGTCATGTGGAGGGAGCGGGGCTTAGTAGAGTCATAATTATGTTGGATGCTTGGGTTTGAAGGACAAGTGCAGAAGCTGTTGAACCCATTTGGTGGAAAATCCGAGCCGGTGGTCACTGCCCAGAGCTCGGCGTGTTGGACAGCTCAGCCCTGCTGCCACTTTGGAAGGGACAAGAAACCTGCTGAGGAGGCGTGGGAGCAGGCTGCCCAGAGGTCTGGGTTGGGTAGGGCTTTGAATGGGCTTTGGTGCTTTATGAAGGGTGGAAACGCAGCTCTGCAGTTCATGTGAGCAGTGTGGGGGGATATGAGCGCGTAGTGCCTGTAACTGCTTAGCATGGTGACTATATGAAAAGCAGGGCGCTTGTAAACCAGAGTTTAATTGTCGTGTAATTCCAGTGGCTTGCTTCAGGGAGAGCAGAAGCAATGCAGTGCCCTCAGAGCTCTGCTTAGCTCATGTTCTCTCACTTGCTGCTGCATGTAGGATGTTACGACCACAAGGAATAGCTGCTTTGCAAATGTAATGTTGGGTAGAGTTTGGAAACTGAATATGTTGCATTACTTTCTGGGGATGGAGCTGAGGGGTTCAGTGTTTTGGCTTTCTTTTTAAATAAGATTGAAAAAAGAAAAAAATTTCTTGTAAGTAAGAAATGGGATCATTAGTGCAGGTATTAATGCCAAATGTGAAGCTTTCACAGTGGTGTTTTTTTACTTGTTTGTTCATTTCTTTTTTTTTTTTCCCAGCAGAATTTTCAGTAGATCTATGGTAAGCAATTTTTTTGTTTATGTTATTTTCTTCTAGCAGTGGAACAATATGAAAGCATCACCTCTTAAAAATGAGAAGGGTCAAACGCTTTCATCTGAAATAGAAGTTATGGGAGGCTATGCATTAGTAAAATAAAGCAACTTTCTGATGCTTTTATGAAGTATTACAGATATCTAGAAGTCTTCCAGGAATTAAACATCCAAAGCATCTTGAAGCATGTCAGGTCAAACTAGTTAATCTGAAACCACATAGAGTTTGAGTTAACTGGTAAATAAAAATCCACCCAATTTCTGTGTGTTTGAAGTATGTTCTATTTTAGATGTGATGCTCCCTGAACTGTGTGCTTCGAAATGTGGACTAATTCTCCCTCAGAAAAGAGAATCAGAGTTCACAGAAAATCCAAAAAAGTCAGGAATTAATGAGTTCATGGAAAATCTGTGCATATTTTGCAGCTTTGTAGGCGTGTAGCGTAAGTGAAAACCAGAGTAATTAGTGCTTTATACAGTGAGCTTACTGGGCACATATACGTACAAATTGGATGTGGTTACAGCAATCAGAACGAACATTAGTTTTCTTCATTGGAAAGAGAAGTAGGTGTAAGGATGCCCTAACTTAAGTAAGTGTTAATTTCTGTGAAATGTACTTTATTTTAGAGTTTTATTCCATGTTGGTTTTGATTTGGTTTTCCTGTCTATTAACTTTGTGTCCTACACAGCAATTTATTTATGTAGATCTATCTGTTCACTGTCTCTGAGAGCTAAAGGCATACTTGAAATTGGATGACTTGAAATCAATAACTGTAAAAACAAGCAGCGTGTTCTTCTGACTTCATCTTTACTTTGGCTCACATGTGAAGCTTAGGGCTTTTATCTTTTCCTAAACTAGGAACGACAGCGGCTGGAGACGATCCTCAATCTGTGTGCAGAATACTCCAAGGCTGACAGTGACCCTGCTGCAACTACAACAGTTGCTGATGTTCAGAAAATTAACAAAGAACTTGAAAAGCTGCAGCTATCAGATGAGGACTCAGTATTTGAAGACTCGCAGATGAATCTAGAAACGAGATTTAGAAACCACTTGAAGTCGTCTGCAAGTGATTCGGATTTCTCTGAGCAAAGTAACCACAGTCGCAGCACTGCTTCTTTCCTTTCCTCCCGGGGGCTGAGAGCCGATGAGCACTTCAATGAAAACATGAAGCCTTCATCATTAGCTACCCCTGGCTTCCTGAAGGATTCCACTGAGTCTTCGTATCTAAGCATCACACCAAAGGTAATGCTGGTAGGAAGGCATAGAACAGTCTGCTCGATGGCATGAAGTCCTCCTCTGGAAGTCAGATTTCACAGCACAGGTCCTAACTGGGATGGTTTAGGTACAAGAATTTACTTCAGAGCTCATATAACTTAGAACCCAGCAGCAGATAATTTCATTTTCTATGAAAGCTGTTGGTGCTGGAAGTTTTTTTTCTGGAGGATGTAGGGCTTGAGAAGACTGTAAGGAATTTCTAGGGGAGAATGATTTGTCTGAACAAGTTAAAGCTACTTAAACAAGCAAGGTTTCCGGACTCCTACTTAGAGTTGTGCTGAGATGGAGGAAAGAGAAGGGAAGTGCTACCAAGCTGTCCTAGACTGAGGCTCCCGTTTCCTGAAAGAGGAGGCTACTTTCTCATTGGTAAACCAGTTGCAGAGGAGGTGAGGAGGAATTGCGTGGGCTGTGTTTGCTGGCCTGTCGGCTGTCCCTGGGCTGGAGCTGAGCCACTTGTCACATCAGCTGCTGCCTCTGCCTCCTGGCACTCAAACGCATCTCCTACGCTTGCTGAGATGGAGCTTCTTTCTCGTCTGCTTCATCTTGATGTTCTGTTATTGAAGGGGAGTTGTCCTTTAAAAAATGAGCTAACAGTGTTTCTAGTAATTTCCTACAGCTAGAAGAGCAGGAGCTTAATCCAGGGTGGGAAATAGCCTTTCCTCCCTTTTGGATCAGTGCCTGGGCTCTGCTGTGCCAGATGAGCAGTGCAGCTGGTTTTGGGGAGAGATGGTTTGTTAACATCCTAAATAGGTATATCCAGTAATTAGAGTGAAGAGTTTATTGTTAAATAAACAACAATAAACAAACATGACATTAAGGTTTTACTTAGTCTTGCTAGGTCTTTCCATGTACAAAAGGTAGTGAGACCATTTAAATTACAGGTTACTGTGGTCTTGCCTTTCTTCCCCATTTGTTTCTTCCTGCAGGTCAGAAATCCTATTTTAAATCCTTTTTAGGAAGTTGAAATTGAAGACATTATGTCAGCATTACCCAAGCAGGATGCTGGACAAAAAGTGGCTTTCCTGATAGGATTACTAATGTTAATCAAGGAATACCTTTCATTCATTGTAAAGGGTGCTCTGCTAAGCCCTGAGAAAAGCAACAAATGAGCAACTGCATTAATGAAACACAGCTCATTGTTTCAGAATATCGAGATCAGATCTGTCCATGATGATTTGTCCATGCCTGCTCTCAGAACAGCCATTCAGGAGCTGACTTGAGCCTCGTTAGAGCGTGGCTGTGTAATCCAGTGGTTAATGCAAAGCTCTGTGCACAGCCCACTTCTCATTTGGGTTGGTGACAACAAGTGAGCAGCTTACAAAAGTAATTTGATCGTGTGCCCTTGGGATCAGGTGAACATGAAGAATATGTTTGAAACTCAATACTCTTTGATCTAACCTTTGCTGCTCTAATGAGATCACAAGTATTTTTTTTTAATAATGCTTTTTAATTCTTGGCACAGTTGTTTGGTAATTAAATGGCAATGAAAAAAGCTATGTTAAAAGTATTGCCTCCTGATGGCCAACCAGGGAGGCAGGGCTGAGCTTTGTCCTGTTTTACAGAAGATACCCATCTTACTGGCTGCTTGTAGAAATGTGCTTGCTATTCTACATTCTGGATTTTATTACATGAACAGTTGATCTCTGCATAAAAACCGTTATCATCTATTTGCTTTATTATTTTTAAAAGAAAAATTGGATTTTTACAGGCTAGATAGCACAGCAGGTAAAGTATTCTCAAGGGTCAGATTTTAATAATTGTATTGTATGAGTAGTATTTACTGTTCAGTATGGTATTTAATTCTAGTGCTCGGAAGCAAAGTATCATGTTTGTTTCTCTTGTATGCTTTCTAAATATAGAGGTAGTAATATAGTAGGAATGAAATACGTACCAACTTCAAAACCAGCATGTAGTACTTATTTAAAATGGTCACAATATTAGAGGGGAAAAGGGAACACAATATTTAACCTCTTTTTAATAAACCTTTTGTAATTGCAACTGCAGATACCAGAATGCACAAGTGATGATCAAAGAGGACAGGAGCTCACTCGACTAGAAGAGGAGCGCATAGTAATATTAAATAACTTGGAAGAACTTGAACAGAAGATCAAAGATTTAAATGACCAGATGGATGAATCCTCAAGAGAGGTATGATATACGTTTCAGTTTTAAATGTCTTGCTTGTTTCATATATCTACATAGCATAGATAGGTTGAGCAAGTACATAGGGAGTTCATGAATGTATTCTGTGCCTTTTCACTGGAATTAGACACAGAATCATGAACCTGGTAGTCTCCTACTGGAAGGTTATTTATTTCCAAGCAGAGGGATGGTTGTGATGCTCAGATTAGCCTTTTCCAACTGTAACCATTACACTCATAAGCGGAATTAGAACAATCTTCTTGCTGAATGGTCACTCGGATTGATCTAAATACCTTGTGTCACTTGAGTGTTTTATAGTGTATCTCATGTGACCCTTGAAAGAGAAAGGAAATTAGGTAACTTCCTATTAAACATCCTTGTCTTTATGGTGGCAAAGTTATGTGGCTATCTCTCGGCTTCTGGAATCTCACAGTTGCAGACTTAGCTGATCAGGCATTTGGGCTGTGCTCACTCCAGTTATCAGCGACAGGAAAGAAACAGCTGTTCTCAATGGGTTTCCTACAGAGCCTGGGCACGGATACTTGGTATAGTGTCACAACAGGAGGAAGCACGGAGAAGAGTTAGAAAAAAAAAGTCTTCAGAGTAAAGTTGGGTTGGACTTTATTTTGCAGTATTTTATGTTTCGGTTTTACTTTTTCTCAATTTTATGATCTCTTTTTAACTTTATGGATGTAACATTGACTTTTTTTTTTCCTTTTAAAAATGTTTTTCTGTTGAGAATTATGAACAACTCACTGCCCTTCCCCCAGAAAATAATGTGTATCAAGATTTCTTCTTAATTTGGACTGCTCTGAAAAATGTTTTGTGTTCCTAGTTGGATATGGAATGTGCCCTTTTGGATGGAGAACAGAAATCTGAAACAACAGAGCTGCTGAAAGAGAAGGAAATACTGGATCATCTAAACAGAAAAATAGCTGAGCTGGAGAGGAATGTTATTGGTGAAAAGGCAAAGGTAATCAAGTTATCTTAGCTAGCTGCGTGCTCTGTTCCTATTAATCTTCAAAATGCATTTACACAACATATTGGTGGAAGCTATTTTGTGAAGTAGATGCATTAAGTAAATTTATTTGATACATGTGGAAGAAAAAAAAAAATTTTGTTTCCCAAAATATACTCGACTGGCAGAACAAAGTATGCTTAAGTAAGGAGACCTGACTTACTCTGAAGATATTGTTGATTAATAAAAAATCCATAGAAGGCTTGGACTTGAGTTACCTGATGTTTAAAAGAACAGCATTAATTGAACTGTTCTTCAGCCTTCTGTTATATGTTATAAATTTTGAGGGTTTTTTTTTTTTTTAATTGTTTCTCAGCAAAGGAGTGGTATGAAAAGAGGCTGCAGTTTCAGAAGGTGATTGAATCTAGAGTAGTATATAGTTTGATTCATGAAAGCATCTGTAAAATACATAGTCTTAAAGTAATTATATTGGTTCATTTTATTTGTTGACTAACAGTTTTAGTACCGTGGAACAATTCTATATGAGATTAAGTAAAAGGAATTACTTGGTTCTCCTCTAGAGTCAGATTCTTAATTGCTCTCAAATAGATAACTGTTAGCAAAAAGGATAGCAGTGTGATTTAAGTACAGAAAGGGAAAAATGCTCCAACCAGAGGGAACTCATCAACTCCAGCACGCTCTCTGCTGGCAATCCAGGCCAGCAGTTCCTTTCTCCACAGGGGATGTGCCACAGCCAATAATATCTCAAGGTCAGGAAGTTTTTCCAGGGCTTTCAGCCAGTAATGGTTCCTTTTTAAATTTCATCCTCTGCCTCATAATTTAAGCCTGTCACTGTGAAAGTACTCCAGCTAGTCTCTCCCCTCCTTTCACTTTCTAGAAATATCTGAAAGTCTTCTGCATTATTTGCTCTTGTTTAGACAAGCCGTGCATTTTTAGCTTTCTTGCACTTCCCATTTAATTCAAGCCTTACAGCATGCATTGTTTTATTTTGAGTTTGCTGTCTTCAGTGTCTGTTGATGCTGTCATGAGCCTGAACATTGTTTTGCATCTGCTCTCAGTAAACCTATGTTTGAGAATGCTGCTCCCACCTCTTTACTCTGCAAAGTGACAGCACACATCCAGTTCAAGCTTAAATTTTCATAAGCTTTCCTGCCTTGTTCTCAAATAGTCCTCAGTGATTCTTCAGCTTTCAGCAGTGTCACATTTTAAGCTGTCTGTGGAACACGTTTCATAGTTGTTTGGGTTTTTTTTGGTTTTACAATGAAGAGGAATTTAAAGTTGGTAAAAGCAGGTTGGGTGATGCAAGCAGGTATAGCAATATCCTTTTGCAGACCGAGCTTGGTTTCACTGGTAACAAATAACAGTTCAGAAGATCTTTTGGCTTTTTTATTTGTTCTCTGGTAGATTCCAAGTTCAACAAAACTCATGGAAATTATTTGAAATCCTGCATGTTGTTTACATTTCCATTTAATCAAATATGTAACAGATAATATCCTTGCATTAGTGTATTAGAAGAAGAAAATCACAGTACTAAGTCTAACTTAAAATTTCAGTCAAACAAACATGGAAAGCAGCCTGGAGAAAGCAAGTTCATTCAAAATATTTTTTTTTCCTCAGTACAAAGCATACTGGTGAAGTTAGTTACTCTATTTTAGTAATCTTTTCTCACGTGCTGTTTAAAAAAACCAACAAAACAAAACAGGTGTGAGTGATTGCAGTAGGTTTAGAGCCTTGGCTCAGTTAATACTGGAAGTACTTTTGGAGAAATATAAGTGAAAGTGTAAAAAAAAAAAAAATCTTAAGCAAAATACCTGAAAGCGTTCTGGAAAAATTAGTGTCAACCAATGAAACAGCCAGCACTCACCATGTCAATTAACAGTTCTGGCTGGTTTTAGAGAACAGTATTTTTTAAAGCTGGATTTGTGTGTCAGTATGTTTAAGGTTGCTGCCCCTTCAGATCTTGTCCACAGTAGGAAAAATCTTGGTTTTTTAGTAGTACAGGACCAGACTCCACTAGGAGAGTGGTGCTTAGGTAGAAGCACTAGGTAATACGTTTTGTATAAATTGGAAAACAGATGACCTCCTTAACAGAATGAAGGCTCAGCTTCTGGCTGATAATTGCCACTCTGTTGATGTTACTCCTGCATTGTTTGTTGGAAGAGCAAGTGCTCTAGTATCTGTACAGTGGTAACAGTTTTCTGCAGTTGCCTTTATGTTTTACTTGCAGTAAAACAGGTAGTTTGGTGGTGTATTGTAGCAAGAAGTTGTTGGGTCCATTCATTCAAACAGCAGTTACATTTTTCTTAGGGCAGGGGACTGACATCTGAATTTGCTGTGGGGTGCCTTCTTGAGGTGAAATAGATAGTTGATTTCATTCTTGAAACGATGCTGAGGCATTAGTGTTGGGCATGATGGCACTTGTTTCTGGAATGCCTTGAGTATCTCCTGGAATTTGTCACTGATCTCAGCACCTGTTTGACAGGAAACCCTTGCCTGATTGCATTTCATCCTTACTGATGCACCTGTTTGAAAATCTTGTGAAATTCTTAAAAAGGGAGATCATGATATACAACCTAATTATTGGGCCGCGTTATGTTCTTGAAATAGAGCATGAGTGGAAGTTTTTGTATTACTTTCTACCTGAGTCTGTGACTATTTTCATGGTTTTTGCATGAGATGAGATGAGAACACAGAGTTTTACCAACCTTTACACAGTCTTAAAGCCTCAGTTTAGAAGGAAATTTCTAGCCTCTGTGAAAACAGGGAAGTGGTTGCTGTGCAGGTGCATCAGATGGAAAACGTACTTACAGACAGAAGGGAAGGAGACTTGTGAGTTCAGTTCCTGGCTGTGGTGTTGAGCTCTTTGCTGTGGTACAATGTCTTGTGTCCCTGCATCTTTGCAATTGTGTTTATGTTAACATGGTATGTTGCATTTTCATCTTATTGAAAGCCAAGTGTTCAGCCCTACGTGAACACATGGCAGGACTAACAGTGAGAAAGAATGAATGAGTTAGTGATGATGAAGATGATGTAATGAATGTCCTGTGGTGAGTTTCAAAGCAAGGCAAAGGAGCAAAGCAATTTGTGTCAATTTAGTTAGGTTTTAGAAAGAAGAGCTATGAGCAGTTCCATTTTGCAAAGAAAAAGACAGAGCCTTTCAACGCCACTGCAGGAATTAGCATTGCTCTGGTAGTGGTGTGACTGTGCACGATGCAAGTGCTGGGAGTACTCACTTCTCCTGGCAGGGATAGCTGCTTTCAGGGCTGGGGATTGGGCATGGCCTATGCCTTCTACTATCTGAGCTCTCAGCTGTGCTAGAAATCCTGGTAGCATATGGATGGAGATTCAGCTTTGCCTCTGTGGTCATACTTCCTGAGCATACCTTTCTTCTTTCTTCCACAGAAGATGATGACCGACTACGTATTTGAATAGTAGCATCTAGGCTATTAGTTACAGGCTCCAGTTACACAGGAACAATCCTGATAAGTCACTACTAATACAATTTGACACACACAGCTTGAAACTCTCTGGAAAAGAGCTTTGCTCCAGATATTGACAGTGTTTTTGAGCCCTGCCTGCTTTGGAGAGAATGGAAATGGACAGTCCTCAGATAGGCCTGTCAGCCAGTCTCCTTTAGTGCCTTCCATCAAACCTTGGCCCTTTGTAATGTCGTATTGCTGTACTGAAGGTGTACAATAATGATGCTGTTGTTCCCAGTTCAATAACAGGGTGGAACTGTGGTGCTACTCCCAGTCACAACTTTCTTGCGCTGTCTCTTTGGCTCATGCGACTTCTTCAAATTCGTATTTGTTTACAAGGAAGCTGGAGAAAATTTTGTTTGCTTGACAAGATGTTATCCAGATTGCAAAGTATTTTTTTTTGTTTCTTCTCATACTGTGCTCCCCTAATCCAAATTACATTTTGAATGTGCAGTCTAGCATATGTGGAGACTACTTAATGATTTGCCATGCCTTTTATCTCAAAGAGCATGAAAATGACAACGTAGCTTTCGGAAGAAGGAATGGATTAATGAATAAACAGGGATAGGTGAAAATGATTAATGAATTCAGCAGAAGTGCTGTGGGAGGTAATCATAGTTAAATGGGACTTTTGGCACTGAGTTTCAAAACAATTATCTAGGTTTAGACTGCATTTTACAAGAGGGAGGTTATTCCTTTGCTTGCAGAGGACCTTTGCCTTATGTAGTGGTGGAAGTGCACACTCTGGAACTCCTTTATCACCCAGGGTTTCCTTTTCCTTTTCAAGAACAGAAATCAGGAGCAGCTGGCAATGGGTAACTCATCTTCTTTTGGAGTACGTGAGATTTTGTCTACATGCTTTCGTGGAAGTGTTTTTTAGTGTTCAGCAGAATATCCCAGACGTGCCAAAGCATTTGAAGTTCAGTCTCTTTGCTGAACTAGTTCTGTAAAGATGAATGGAGCCAAGGAAAGAACATCTCTCTAATAATTCATGCGAAAGGAGACTGCAGCAATCAAAGATACAAATCATCTCTTATGATTTCTTTTTCTTCTGGATTCATAGTTCTCCCTATTGTTTTTTAGCATTATGACTGACAAATGTGGATGCCATAGCATAGTGTTTTAGATCATTCCTGGTCAGATTCTAGTTCAACTAGATGTAAGCAATGTTTTTAAACAGTTGAGTTATCTTCTCTACAACTTCAATTGGTTGAAACTAGATGATCATTATGGTCTTTTTCAACTCAGGCCATTCTATGATTCTGTGATTCTTTATGATTCTATGATTATTAACTTCCTTAAGTCAAGACATACAATTAAGTATTCTGAGGAATACTTGCATCCTCTGGATACCAACTTAAAGATACCCTGTAGAGAAGACAGTAATAAGGAAAAAGATGATTACAAGAATCAAGGAGAAAAATCAGAACTCCCATGTTCTCTTTACAAAAACAGTCATGAGAGAGACATAAAATCGTAGAATCATAGAATGGCCTGGGTTGAAAAGGACCACAAAGATTCATCCAGTTTCAACCCCCCTGCTGTGTGCAGGGTCACCAACCAGCAGACCAGGCTGCCCAGAGCCACATCCAGCCTGGCCTTGAATGCCTCCAGGGATGGGGCATCCACAGCCTCCTTGGTCAGCATGTTCCAAGGCATCACCACCCTCTGTGTGAAAAATTTCCTCCTAATATCTAACCTAAATATCCCCTGTCCCAGTTTAAGACCGTTCCCCCTTGTCCTTTCACTCCCCTTCTTGTAAACAGCCGTTCCCCCTCCTGTTTATGTGCTCCCTTCAAGTATTGGAAGGCCACAATGAGGTCTCCCCGGAATCTTCTCTTTTCCAAGCTAAACAAAGCCAGTTCCCTCAACCTTTCCTCATAGGAGAGGTGCTCCAGCCTTCTGATAATTTTAGTGGCCCTCCTCTGAACCTGCTCCAAGAGCTCTACATCCTTCTTGTACTAGTTACTTCTTGTACAGTAACAATAACTATTGTGAAATACCTTCTTCTATCACATTATGCTCCTTTTCATAGGCCTGGCATACTTTTTTTTTTTTTTTTTTTGTCCTTTAATGGTTTCCTTCATGAAATCCATAGAGATTTAGAGACCAAATCGTGACAAGCTTTTTCTTTCTCTCCTGAAAGAGGCCAAAGAGTGCAGTAAAGAGTTGTCTGAAAATAAAGAGGAGTGTGTGCATGTTCACAGGAGAATCTGCTTAATTTCAACAATATTTTTTTTAATGAGACATATGTGTGGTCTGATTTCTATTTTTATTTTTTAATCCAGCCACTGTGCTGGAAATGCATTCAGTTTTGTAAGAGTTCAGATTTAATACTTCCTCCAACATTTGCTTCTTTCAGCACATATAATGTTTCCTAGCTTGTTAGGGAGTAGACTATTTTCTTAATTCACAGCAAGGTGTGGACCAGTTTTATCAGTGAGTTGATAATGTTTAATTTTCTTGCTTCTTCCTGAAAATGTTCTACTGAATTGAAAAACTTTGTAATTTGACACTACGTCCAATCGTAAAGGAATTATTTCTCTTGTCTGTTTTCCTCCTACACTTCTAGCATATGCAGTCCTTCTGTTTTCTGTAGTCTTGGGGAAGTAGGGTGGAATGTTCTTTTGGAGTGTAAAAGAAGGAAATTTGACTGGAGGTGAGAACATGGAAATGAAATGGAGATGCTGTTCGGAACAAACAGCTACATACGTTTCTCCTTACTCTGAGAAACCTGTGAGAGCTGTGAGACTAGCCTGCTCCATACTGAGAGACAGATCATGCATGTGAAGCTTGATGTGGGTAATAAGACCTTGCTACCTTTCAACATGATGAGTTGCAGGTGAGTTGAAATGAGGATAATCCTGGAGTGCTTTAGAGGGAGAATTTTGACTAGGAGAGCCTGCTGAATGGAAGGGGATTTCTTTACAGTTCGTCTTTCTTTCAGGCTGTAGAATGACCCCTATTCACCCAGCCATACTGTCCATTTCATGGTGAGCTAGTAGCAGTGTTGATCAGACATAGGGCATCCTTAACTGCAGGAGATAACCCATAAGCAATTAATCTCTCTTTTCCTTCTTTTGTTCCCATTCTTACAGAAGCTATGATTGTCTTTAATCTAATCACCTCTTATCCCAGGTAAATAGAGGTAATGGCCTTAAGTTGCACCTAGGGAGGTTCAGATTGGATATTAAAAAAATATATATTTCTGAAAAAACTCTGAAAAAGTGATGAGGCATTGGCACAGGCTGCCCAGGGAGGTGGTGGAGTCACCATCGTTGGGGCTGCTCAAAAACTGTGTAGGTGAGGCACTGAGGAACATGGGTTAGTGAGCGTGGTGGCAACAGGTTGGCAGTTGGACTAAATGATCTTAGTGGTCTTTTCCGCCCTTAATGGTTCTGTGATTCTATGGTTATTAGTGATATGTTTTATGTGTGCTGAATATATGTTCTTTGTTCTCTCCATTTTGCCCGTAAAATCAGTTCTGCTAGCTATAAATTCCTTTTGTGACCTGTGTAACCTCTGTGTTCATAGCATGGGTGCTTTGCTACCATCTTGTCTGCTTTTAGGGGGATGACAACATTACAGCTCACTTCTTTCTGCTGCTGTCCTTCATGGTATTCAGATACCTTTCAAAACTGATCCAAGCTGTGCCCCAACATCATCAAAACACCAGTCACTCCTGTTGTCTGTCTTGGTTGATCCCAAGTTCACATAACCTGTAAGAGGAGGCAGCACATAGCATGGGCTGGGTAGCTAGCTAAGACCAAGTGCTGTGTTTTAGTGAGCTCTATTTCTCTTCTGTAGAAAGAGAGTGGCAACAATTCAGACTATGGATAGTGTGGCTCTGAGATGGGCACTGGGGATGAGAGGCAGTTGTCTGCAGGAAAATGTCTAATGAGCACAAGTCCTGGCTGGTGCCCTGGCTAGTCTTGAGCACATGGTACCCAGTGGTCTGCCTCACCTGTGTCCTGCACTTAGCTTACAGTCCTTGATCATTTTCCTCCTAAAGGAGCTCACCTGGATCCATTTATAAAAGAGTCTGAATGAAAAGAACAGTCTGATTGTTCGTTTATTTATTAAACTACTTTTGTGAATTGAATTATCTTTACCAATGCAAAATTAGAGATGTTGATGAACTGAACTTCACAGCTGCAAAACGTGTAGTGCCTCTCACTGCTGAAAGTGATATTTCCTGTAAGACTGCACAATTTGGAGGGAGACAGTTTGGTGGGATGTGAGCACTTCCTATGCTATATATAGGACAAATGAGGATCACTTTCAATCTCAAAGGAATACATTCCTACTTTCTTGAGGAAGTAATAGTATCTCTGGCATGATTCTCAGTGAGTTTTATTCTTGCTGATGATGTCTCTTCACACACAAAGTTTGATTTGGTTCTTAACGAGTGAGTGTGCTTCTTGCAGCACATAGCCATGGAGGGAGCTATTAATAGCCTCAGATGAGCAGTACTGTATGCAAGGTCACAGAAGTCCTTGCAGCTTTAGATTTGTTTCCATCTTCCTCTTTATACTTGCCCAGCAATGTGGCAGACTGTAGGTTGAACAGCAAGGTTTGTGAGGAGGGGAGCTACTGATTTATTCAAGATTCCTTATGCAGTAAAGGAAGGATGATTCAGCAAATGTGGTTCCATACGGACAGAGGTCTGGAGGTGACATCTCAGGAGTTGCGTGCTTTTCCCTCATGTTGCCCCTTGCGCGTTTCATCCTCTGTGTTCCTGAGCCTTGCTTATGCTGCTGCAAGACAGAAAGTAGTCAAGGAAGTGCAGGTAATTGAATATGCTGGCCCGGTTGCTCACTTCTACAAGCTTAAGAACAAATACCAACCAACTGTTGTGTTCACCACATTGTTCATCTAATTAGGTGTGCTGAGAAACTGCACGTGTGAATGGAAACAGCAGAGCTGGAAATTTGATTCACCTTGAGATTGAATGAGAATGTTTCTTTCCTCGTGTTATTTTTAAATACTAGGGAAAAGAAATCCCAGCCAATGATCCCACTCATATTTAGAGATACAACTGTAAAGAAAGCAGGGAGCTATTGTGAATTTGTTGTTGTGCACTGTGTGGGAGAGTTTGACAACTTTGTCAACAAAGGGGAGATTTTGGAGAAGGCCCATTTTACAGTTTGAAATGGCAAGTTCTACATACAAAAGTAATTTTCTATGGCGTGTGTCATAAGGGTGCTGCAAAGCCGAGCATGTTGCACCTGCTGAGACACATGTTTGACTTTAATAATGGTTGGGACTGAAAGAGGGAAGTGGATGCTGTGGCAGACTTGAACTGTTCTTGGAGCATCCGGAAGAAGCAGCTGGAATGCTTGGGCTGATTCTGAGCTGTAGAGTATTGGAAAGAGTTAGAAAAAACAACTGAGAAGAGATGCATAGCTACAGAACAAAAAGTAGATAAAGGGAGCTGTACCAGTGTGACTCTAGGATGAAGTAGAGAGTGGTCTCCAGAGACTTACTGATACCTTCAGTTTTTCTGGCATATCAGGCAATTTGTTTTTTCAAGTTAATAATTACTCTCTTGAAGAAAATGTACCTGCTGTGCTGGCCAGGGTACATGCATGTAAAAGACACTGAAAGAATTCTCTGAACTCCTATTTATGGGTTCCTGAGTCTGAGTCCATGGACAAATAATCTACGAGGTGATTTGAAGTGATTTGCAATCAGTCTTGAAAGTAGTGCTGCACACAAAACAAGTAGCCTTTGATTGAAAGTTGAAAGGGTAGAGGCTTTTGACAGTAATAAGCAGTATGTTGAGTGCTGCTGCTCTAGTGGAACAAGAATAAAGCTGAGTTAGTTACAGAGACCAGGAAGACAGAGCGTCGCCTTTGATTCCAAGAAATGGTTACAGTTCCTGTATCCTGAAGCAAATGAATTTATTTGTTAAATCATTTGGAGTTTCTATTGCGACAGGATTTCCTGTCCCAGAGTTATTTCTTTATAAAGCTCTGTCTCATTCTGTGTTTTCACTGCTTGCTAAAGGTACTTATCTGTCCAGAAGCACGTAAACATGTGATTCATTTTCTTGGGAAAAGCCATTTTCTGCTCACTGCTAGAGTACAATCATTTTCCATCCATTTTGCTTTCTAAAAGCTGCTGCTTTCTCTCTCCTTCATGTGTTACCTGACTAACATGGATATCATTTCCATTTTTTTTTTCATTAGGTGAGACAAGCATTTGAACAGCGGGCATTAAGGCATCATCCACATGTGGGGACAAAGTGCAGTGATGAGGGAGAGAATTAATTACCCTACTAAAATTATTAATGTTTTGTTTCTATCATTTTGCATCCCATGATTGTATTTCAACTAACAAGCAATTTCTGTCATTGACCAACATGCTTCAACTGTTCGTTAAGTTTTTGCCACACACTGTCATAATCACTAACAACTGCTTCAGTTTGAAGGTAATTCTGTTTATTTTCTGGTTCATGCTTCAGGAAAAATTAAAACTTGATGCTGAGAGGGAAAAACTAGAGAGGCTTCAGGAGCTTTACTCCGAGCAGAAGACGCAGCTTGATAATTGCCCTGAGTCCATGAGGGAACAGTTACAGCAGCAGCTGAAGAGGGTCAGTAGCGAGTTTCAAGATTAACTTCTTTGTTGTTGATTTTAGAGTTAAGTCTAACATATTCCGCTTCAGGTATTCTATGAGTTGCCTGAAGATACTTGCGCCAGAGTTTCCTTTTTGTAGAATGCTTGCAATAAATATTTTGAATAGTGGCAACCAAATAGAGTGCAAATGGGTGGATTAGAAAGCATTCCGTGTTGAATGTTTCTAAAGCTTTGGGCTACTTACCTGTAATTAGCACCTGAAGCCTGCTGGATTGCATGGAGTCTTGGAATGGTGATGTTTAGATGGGTAATTGAGCATTGCTCATTTATTCTGCTCACCCAGATGATATTGAACATTGGCTAGCAAGATGAACCATTTTAACGCATTACTAGCAATATTGTTTAATTCTGTGTTATGTACTCTTCCTTTGTGTTGCTCTGAATTGCTGTCTCACACCATGGATAACATCCTTTCTTCAGTACATAATTTAGCTGTTGGGCCAAACTGTGCTTTGAATTTATCTTTGTGCATATTATATCACTTATTTTAATGGTTTTATTTTTCCTACATTTTCATCAGTTTCACATTCATTATTTTTGTTTTTGTTTTTAATCTTTGTATGGTCTACTTGCAACTTGGCTTTATTATGTATAATTTGCAACAGAAAAAGCTACAGTATTGTCAGTTAAGGTACAGTTATTTTTTGTGGAAGATTCGAGTATCAATATTAAATAGATTATGCAGCATATATAGTTGGTGTATTTATATATATATATATATATATATATATAAAATATATATATATATAAATATATATTATATTATATTATATATTTATTATATTATATTATATATTATATATTATTATTTTATTTTTATATATATAAAAATATATAAATATATATAAAATATAAATATATATATATATATATAAATACACCAACTATATATGCTGCATATAATATATGCATAAAATAATATATATATATAACAGGGGGAGCTTCAATCCAAAGCTTCAATATTGTGAGTTCAAGATAACATCTGAAAGTGAAACTTTTGTTTTTTATTTTTCTTTTCTGAGCTGAGCACTTTTGTATCAGTAATAAGATTTTTCATAGCAATGACCATAAAAAATCTTTTGTTTTATAGAAAATATTCTCAACACTTTAAAAAAAAAAAAAAAAAGTATAATAATTAGATTGGTTTATTTGTAGAATTTTGTTTTGTTTTTCAAGGAGCCTGAAGTAAAGAAGTCCAACTTCAGAAAACACAAGTTTAAATTCTTCTGTAGTAACTAAGATGTTTGTTTACTGCCTTTGAGACATTTAAGGATTTTTTAATGTTATGTTTAAAAACAAAACAAAACAAAAAAAGCAAATGAAAAAGAAACCTTAGAGAGTAACTCATAAGTTTTAAAGGAAATCCTTTCCTGTGCAGTCATTTATGAGGGCTGCTCAGAAAGTAATGTTTCCTCTTTTATTATATTGGCCCATGATGTCAGAGCTGGATGTTGGTGGTATAGCAGAAGTTGAACCTTCCCATAAATACTCCCTCTCGTGTTGTTGCTGTGCAATAGATGGCAGCAGAGGGGCACTCTGACAAAACAGCACCTGACAGGGAAATGTGGGTGAAGAAAGGTGTGTCACTGAATTCCTCAGCATGGAAAAAATTGCACCATTGATGTTCATCATCATGATGTTCATTTGCTTAGTGTTTCTGGAGACCAAACAGTGGGTGTAGCACAGTGAGGCAGTGGGTGGTGTGTTTCAGCAGTGGCAACAGTAGAGTGAAGGACAAACCATGGTCCAGATGTCCATGCACAGCTGTCACATACAAAATGAACAGCATCTTTATCAGTTCATCTGCTTGAATTGGCAGAGTACAACCCAGGAACTATGTATGGAATTGAATATGGGCTTCAATATGTTGGAAATGGTAGCAACACTGGAATATTGGAAATAACTTTAAATGCTCACACAGGAACAGAAAGAGGTGTGTATGAGCTTGTCAGGACCTACTGAACGAATACAAGGCTGAATGTGACAGTTTCCTGGATTACATCATTACTGGTGATGAGAAGATGAGATCTGGTGTTATCACTATGAGTAGGAGTCAAGTTGGCAGCCAGTGAAGTTGTGGCATATGAAAAAGTTCAAGATGAAGCCCTCAGTATGTAAAATGATGTGCACTGTCTTTTTGTGATAAGAATCATGGAATCATTAAGGTTAGAAAAGACTGCTAGATCACCTAGTCCAACATTTAGTCACCACCATGCCCACTAAACAGTGTCCTTAAGTGCCACTTCTGCTCTTTTCCCTGGGCAGCTTGTTCCAATGCCTCACCATTCTCTCAGAGAAGAGTTTTTCCTGATATCCAGCCTAACCCTCCACTGACACAACTCAAAGCCATTCTCTCTTGTCCTGTTGCTGTTGCCTGGGAGAAGAAATCAACCACCACTTCACCACAACCTCCTTTCAGGGAGTTTTAGAGAACAATAAAGTCTCTTCCCGAGTCTCCTTCAGACCAAACAATCCCAGTTCCCTCAGCCACTCCCTGTAAGACTTGTGCTCCAGACCCTTCATCAACTTGGCTGCCTTTCTCTGGACACTTTCTCTAGGGCCTCAGTGTCTTGTACTGAGGGGCCCAAAACTGAACATAGTACTCAAGGTGGCCTCACCAGTACCAAGTACAGAGAGATGATCACCTCCCTGCTCCTGCTGGCAACACTATTTCTGATACGCGCCAAGATGCCATTGGCCTTCATGGCCATCGTGACACACAACTGACTAATGTTCTGCCATCTGTTGACTAATACCCCCAGATACTTTTACTCCTCACAGCTTTTCAGTCTTCTGGATGCTTCTGGATTTCCTGGAACCTGGGCAAACCATCAACTTTGACAGCTACTTTGTAGTGCTGACTAAGCTGAAGGCTTGAACTTGTAGACTCAGACCTGAGAAGAAAGCCTTTCTCCTGCAACATGATAACATCACGCCCCAAATGGAAGACTGTGGAGTGCATCACCAGTCTTGGCTGGACTGTCCTACCACACGCACCATGTACTCTGAATTTGGTGCCTTCTGACTTCCATCTGTTTGGGCCAATCAAAGATGTAACATGGGTATCGTTTTCCTGGCAAGGTCACCATCACAGCAGCTGTGAAACGAGTCACCTCTGCTTGTGCAGACTTTGTGTAGCATGATGTGCAGTCTCTTATTGATTGCTAGCAAAAATGCATAATTGTGGAGATTCTGTTGAAAAACAGTGTTTTGTAGCCAAGAGTTTGCTCTGTCAAATAGTGTTCTTGTACACTTTGTATCAGTTATAATTTCTATGGAAAGATTACTTTCAGAGTGAGTGACTTACTTGACACGTTAATTCAAGAGAAATTGCAGTCTTATAGTTATGGGATGGTAGTAAATCCTTTTCCACTATTGACTACCAAGAGGCTTCTAGAAATCTGTTGTTATATATATCAGGAATTGGACTTGATCCTTCTGGGTCCCTTCCAACTCAAGGTATTCCATGATTCTTTAATTATTTTTTTGTTTGTTTGTTTGGTTTGGTTTTTTTTTCACTCAGGCTGGCTTAATATCAATTTTGGATTTGAGAGTGGGACAAAACTTGAAATGTGGGGTGCAGTTTGATGCAAAATTGTTTCTGTTGCATATTATTCTATGCCAGTTGTAGTGGGAGTTAGCTGAGGCTGCTGTGCTTGAAGTAGTAGAAGTTTTCACTGAAGTTTTCACTGCACTGAAGTGCACAGTATTGTGATATCAAGGGTGAGAAAAGTTAGGACTTTTTCATAAGCATTCTATCCAAAATAGAAAAAAAAATCTCCCCCAAGAATAGGGAGTATAGAATTAAATACTTAAACTTGAGGGACCGTATGTTGTGGTATTTTATTGCCAGAAGCATATTTCCTTGTAGCATCTGACCATGGTGTGGATCTGGAGTTTGGGCTGAGATGGGAAGCAGGCAGTTAACAACATCTGTGCAGACTACTGACTGGTGGGTTGCTTCCCAGTGCCTGTCACAGACATGCACCTTTTGTGCTGGACAGGGGGAACACTTCATTAAAGCCTGATGAAACCTGAGGGTTTCTAGAAGGCAGTCAGGGAAAGCAGTAATCTTTCTGATGGCTTATGTAAAACTTATTTCCATAATGCATTTATGCACTTATATGTATTTATTATGCATAAATGGAGGATGAGACTAGATGCCTAGATTCCTGCAAAGATCTGAAAATACAGTGTCGGTTGCTAAGAAATAAGTAACTATTCAGAGAAAAATCTAAGTTTTACAGATTTTGGGGGACTCTGGATGGAAGGACTTGGTACTCTGCCACTGAATTTTGTCCAGTGCCAGGAGAAGTAGTAGTAATGCTGGAGAAGTCTGTGATTTTAAAGTCCAATATAGAAACATCATGTTTGTGGTTTCTTAAGAGTTTTTTAAGTTACAGTATTTTAATGTAAGTTTGTTGTAATAAAAGGGGCAGGAGTGGAGGTACTCTCCTCTTTGCTCAGGAAATCATTACCTACAATGAGAACAATTGCTCTAAAATCCTATGCAGCCTTCTCTGTCAGTTGCCTTCTCTGGAATCTGTCTCATCTTCTGTCCAAGTAGCAATTCATTTGTTAGCAAGTAGCCTGAACTTCCTGATTTTCATACCTCATCGAGGCCCTTCCATTTGTTTTAAAAACTGAAGGTGGATGGCAGGGGTGAATGAGGTGATTCTGTACTGGAAGTAACTGCTTTCTTGTCATTTGTAGCCCATGTCTTTACTTTGGATCTCTCTGTTATCTACTTCAAGTGAAAAGCACATCTTTGGAAAATAATATGTTGATATTTTATATAGTTTTTGAATTCATGAGCTTTTGCATCTTGCCTGATGAATTGAAAGCTGGTTTTTAAAAGCCTTTGTGAAGATTTCTGTGCACATCATCAGTCACTCACTATTCTTTGCTTTAGGTTGAAATGAGAAAAGGATTAAGCTTGCAATTTTCTACAGTAAAAATTGTTACAGGTTATATATGAAAACCTGTATCAAATTATGTACAATGTCTCTATTTTAGAGAGCTTTAATATTTAATAATACTGTGGCTATTAAAAATTCTTTTTTCTTCAGAAATCTGGAAGCAGGGATTTATGTTATGAATACACAGATATTTCGCAAGAAAAATTGTTACTCAGTTCTTGTGCTGAAAAGCAGTGAAAGTTTTGTCTCATCCTCTGTAAGTGAAAGGCAAATTCGTTCTTATTTCTTGGGTCTCTTTTGCAGCATTCAGCCTCTTAAAGAAATCTGGCATTCATCCATTGGAATGCATACAATTGGTTTGATGCCATTTGTGAAGCAATACACCTACTGACTAGAGACTGTGTGTGTGAGGACAGCTCTTATTTGTGTTTTTGTATATGGAGAGATTGTCTGCTGCAATTCAGTGGTCCTTATGCAGCCACTGGCTTCACAACCTGCGTAGCTGGACAGTAGTGCTCGTGGGATGGCAGTGTACATAGGATACAGCTACACTTTGTTTTTCCTCTTATTTGTGTGTCTGTTACTAAAAAACAGTAGGAGGGCTTGGGCTGGACTTGAGAAAATTCTAAGTGCTGTCCAGGCTCCTTCGTTTGAATGTGTATTGCCATGCTTAGTATTTGGATGATACTTCCTGGGTTGGTTTTTTTTTGGATTTTTTTTTTTGGTTGATGAGCAGATGCTGGGATCAGTTTGGCATGTGGCAACGTCAAGGAATTGATTGGCATTTTGGTTGCATGGCAGCTAGGCTACAGTGCTACAGAGGCTCCATCCTGCTGTAAACATTGAAAGACAACTCATTTACAATACAGCTGCCATTTTCAGTGGGGGGACACTAGGAGTAATGGAGAGAGCTTCGTTAAAATAGCAGTTAGCCCTGTTTATTCTCTTATGACAGTAGGTAATTAAAAGTATTGAGCTTCTGAACCTGTTGCCTGAGATACAGTCTAAAACAGAGTCTCTGTGATATTTTTCCTATACGTAAGTCTGTTTACTCCATTGTCAATGAATGAAATGTCACTTTTTTCTTTTTTCTTTTTTTTTTTTCTTCTTTTTTTTTGGCTTAAGGACGCTGATCTGTTGGACATAGAAAGCAAACACTTTGAAGATTTGGAATTCCAGCAGCTTGAACATGAAAGCAGGTTAGATGAAGAGAAAGAAAATCTGACACAACAGCTCCTGCGTGAAGTAGCTGAGTATCAGCGTAGCATTGTCAGCAGAAAGGTAAGAGCACTAATACTCAATCCATTTGTTCTTTGTTGTTGTGCATAAAGGAGATGAAATACAGATGTCAAGTTGTAGTCGCAAGAAATAATACAAAATTTTTCTCTTTGAGAAAGGTTTTGCAGCAGAGCTAAACTGATGTCCTGCTGATGTTGTAACACATATTGAATCAGGCGCTTCTCAAAAAGGAAATAAATTGATAGCATTCAATGCTGCCTTTGCATATTTGCATGAAAATATGAAAACGAAACCCTTACATTTTTAACAAAAGGTACTAAAGTATTGTTCTCTCATTATTAAGCAAGGTGGTTCATTTTCTGTGGACAAAACTGCAGTTATTTTTTGTTGATGATTGATATTAAATGGTATAATAGGATTTAAAATTATTAAATCATAATAGGACACTGAATTAAGAAAAAATTGTAATTCTTAAAATCAATTGTAACGATCCTATTTGAACTAATTAAATATGAATTTTTCATAGATCGGAAGTTCCATTTCCAAGCCATTTACTTTCAGTACAGAGACCTTAGTCACCATGTTATCTAAGAATATACGCTGTTGTTCTTTTGTTTTGTATCTTGAAGAAATTCTCTTTGCTGTCTAAATCTTGTTTAATTCTTCTCCTTCAGAGAAGGAATGAGCTGTTTTGTAGCTTCTTTTCCTAATACTTCATATACATTTCTTATGAATGAATGAGGTATTATGAATATTATCCTTGCAGTTGGCTGTCTTGTGCTTTGAAAATGAAATATATAGAAGGTGATACATATATTTTTTTTCCTATTAGGAAAAGATTTCTGCTCTCAAAAAACAAGCTAATCATATTGTCCAACAAGCACAAAGAGAGCAAGATCATTTTGTAAAAGAGAAAAATAACCTAATAATGATGCTGCAGAGGGTAAGTATTGTCTTTCAGGTATTTTTAATGCATAGTGAAAGAGCATTTCACATAATAAAAGAACACAGAATCTGAGAAAACTTTCTCTGCTCCTTCTGACACAGCTCCATACCATTCCCTCAGGCCCTGTCGCTGTCACACAGAGCAGAGCTCAGCGCTGCCCCTCCGCATTTATTTTCATTGCATTGCTATTGGTATTTAATACAAAACTTTATTTCTGTTATTAACAGGAAAAAGAGAATCTCTGTAATCTGGAAAAGAAGTATTCCGCTCTTTCTGGAGGAAAAGGATTTCCTGTCAGTCCCAATAGTCTAAAAGAGGTAAACAGTTTAACTGCCTATTGCTTTACCATAAGTAACTTTTAATAACTCTTCATGCAAAAGGATTTAGTGAAGTCCTATTTATACGGTTTTATTGGATGTGATGAAATTAATTTGTAAAGCTGTTCGTGGAAGACCAAATGCGTAGCAGAACAAAAATAACTGCTCTGACATTTTCCCAGATTTGTTTGGTCTCAATTTAAACTCTTGTCCTGGAAAAATGGACATTTTTGTGTGTATGTGAAGTGTCTAAGTTTCTCAAAATGGACAATTAAACTTCACTGAAATGAAGAAAAATGAGATCTGGGGATAACTGTTCAAGCACCCATACATTATAGTCTTTACTTTTGCACTCTCAATTTTATTACAGGTTTTCTCACTATACTCACTTCTATTTTAAGGCTCTTCAAAAATGCATGATAAGTGCGCGTTTTGATCTTTAAAAAAAAAAACAGCATTGAATTAAAGACTTCATGCTATTGTGGTCTTAATTAAGTATTTATTAAGTTATTTATTTAAAGGTGCTGAATAGTTAGAGTAAGTTTTTTGCTGAATATTTGAGTTAGTTTGAGTGAGTCTCAGAGCTTACCTGCACCTGTCAAGGCTTCGTAGCTTTGAGGATACCACATTAAGCTTCTCAAGAACTGTGAATAAGGTCAGTGTAAGGTAAGCCACAGCCCATTACAAAAAGTTGGTCAGGATGTGCAGTATTATCTTTAAGCACCCATGTTTATCCTCTTGGCTTGACTTAATGGATCTGAAAATTGCATATTAATATGAAGTTATAAACGGGAAAGCAGAAGAAATAGCATTTAAAATATGCTGTTAGGTATCTATGACTGCTTCATTAACTTCTGATTAAGAGGTCTGACTGGACTTGCTGGATGACTCCTGAGCACAGTTTGCTCATGTAATGATGTAGGTGTCACTGTGGGAAGTTGGGCTCTTGAAGTTCGGGTAATGTGATTTTGATTAATTGGCCCCAAAGCTCCTGGTGAACCAGCATGGGCTGCAGAACATGCCAGTGGGATCAAGCATTCTTTCTCGCTGCAAGCCATGTTGCATCACGGCTTGGGCTTAGTGTCCAAGGCTGCACTCTAATCTGGACATCTCACCTCTCACCAGGACATCTGGCAACTCCAGGCTTCCTTTTTGTTCATTTGTGATGGTTCCTTTCATTTATCATTAGAAAGTGGGTGCTGTCTCTGATTTTATCTTCATACCCATGTAATGATTTGTTTAATCACAGATGTTTCAGAATGCAACTACATTAAGTGAACCTGATGCACCTTTCGTTGAAATGGATAATTAAGCAGTGTGATTGTGTTCACCACAGTGAAATCAATTAGGACTTACTGTAAGGTAAACGAGAAAAGGAACAGTGCAAATGATCTGTTTTATGCTCAGTGTCCCCACAGGCTTTCTCTTCTGTAAGAAATGTCTTTCCTTCTCAGACATGATAATTTGTCTCACTTCAACTCAACATTTTTCCAACTGCTTCCGACATCTTTAAAAATAAAGCACCAAATGGGACACAGGCTTAAACAGATTCTCTGCACCCGGGAGTTAATTTCACCATGCAATTGCTCATACATCAGTTGAGAACTTAGTCTGTGGTCTCGTATTTCCTATGCCCTCCTCAGCAAAGCGTGCATTTGCAACTCTCTCCCAAAGATAAGGCAGAGCACTTACCCCAGTACTTAAGTGAGGAAAAAAATCAATGCTGTTTGAACGTTCAGTATTGGCAAAATGAGTTGGATCTCTAGTCTGGCTTGAAGCCATTTCTTTAACCTAATGTAATAAGGCCTGAGCTAACACATCATGAAGTCATTTGTTTGCTTCTTATTTTACTGACTTAGCGCCAAGGAGAATCTCCACTTGTGTTGTGAGTGTGAAATGAATGTATTTTTTTCATATAACAGTGAAAGTGCTTATATTGTCTATAAAAATGAACATAATATTACATTCATAGACTTGCCAAGTTTTGGTGATTAATACACTGCTGCTACAATATGGTTAAGCAGGATTTATATTTATTCATACTGGATTCTCTTTTACTGTTATATGGGCACATATTTAGAGAGGAAAACCCGGTCTCCTCGTTTAATATTTGATCAAGTGGTATGTGAATTGATGTTTAACTCCTATGTCTTGAGTGTTGTGTTCACAGTATGTTAATTATCCAGTATTGTATATCTGCTTGAAAATAACTGATACAATATATTTAAAATTATACTGATAGGTAAGAGAGCTTTTATGTTTGTCAGTCTGCCTTCTGTGATCATTGCTAAATGTATGCATTTTTAAGAAGAAGAAATACTATAGCAATCTGTGTTTTATCTTATTCAGTTGCCAAAGTATACGAATGTATTGACTTGTCAACATGTTGGAGCAATCAAAGAAACAAAGAGCCTTGGATACTTTCTCAGTTAGAAGCAGTTTACCATCTTGGTTTAAGCATAAGCGTACTTCCATCATATTTTTGTGATATTGGTTCAACAGTGACTCTTCTTCCACTTGACCATTCTTATTATTTAAAGTTAGGGCAATTCATTGTTTTGCAAGCTGGTATCCTATATGCCATGGATTAGAAGCTATACTGTATTTGTTAGATAAGATTTATTCAGTTAACACCAGAACACCTGCAGAAATTGTGTTCTGCCATTATATCTAAAATCTGCCTGCATGAATGTTCTTTTTAGGCAGAAGCATGCTCCAATGTCTGAGTCTTTTCTCTTGTGTGATTGCTATTTGAGAGGCAATTTGAAAAGACTGTTGGGCAAACAGTGACAACACCTACTGTATCGGTTTCCTGGTAACATCAAGAACTTAGAAGTGACTTCCAGACAGTGCAAAGGAAAAGTGTTTTGTCAGAGTAATGTGGGGAACAACAACAGCATATCTTTATCTTAGTTCTTCTCAGTTCTGTTAGTCATTTGGTTCACTTAAACTAGCCAAGTAGTTAAGAAATAAATCAAACTCTGCATTTGTTATCCCAAGAGAGAGCTACGTGAAGGGTGATTACATTTTACCGAAGGCTTCTGTTCACTTAATGTATATTTGCCTTTTGATCATATGCATGTATTTGGAATTAAATGGAGAACAATTTTCAGAATCCAAGTATTCAACATTTGAGAAACCCAATGATGATTTTGTTTTATTTATGATTAAGTATTTCAATGGTAACAAATATTTGGCTGTATCACTCTGAACTAACTTTCATCGTACTGGATACATTAATACTCTTGCACGTCTTTTTGCTTTTGCTCCTTTTAACTTCTGAATTCCTCCTTTTAGGGCTATATCAGTGTAAGTGAAATTAGTGAGCTGTATGGCAATTCCACGAATATATCCCCTTCCACTCAGCCCCCCACAGATGCTGACGCAGGTACCACTGAGCCTTCCACGGCTGTGCTGACGTGCCAGCCACAAAATAAAGAGGTTTGTTTGAGAGACATTTCCCTTTGTTTGCGTTGTTCTTTCATTGCTGCCTTTTTTTTTTTTCCTTCTTCTATTTTTTTGTAATTCAACATGTAACAAAATGACCCTAAGGCAAGCTCTCATCTGCCAGTTACCAAATCAGATCATGGCTTAATAGCAAAGCTGGAGTAATGGTCCAGTTGATGTTGTAGGTGAGACTTCAAAGGCCAAAAAACCTAAACGATTATGACACAAGCAGCAATAAGTGACAATCCTTGCCTGTCAAACACTATAATGTAATGCAGCTGTGGAGATATGATCTGTGAACACGTTCAATTATTACTCATTCAGTGGTGCTTAGGTGTTCCTTTTGTATGTTTTTCTTCCTGTAACAGAAGAAAGTATATCTTGGATATTTGGGAGAGATGGGTAACTTCTACTTATGTTAGCTATTCCAGAGTCTGTCCAGTCTGTGTCTATAGTTTACTTTTCCTTTTTCACTTTCTTTGTGCCCTGTTTGCCTTTGTAATAATTACAGCATTTTTAATAAATCCACTTTTTATAGAATGAATTCATCTTATGACTGTAAACACACCTACCTTTGTGTGGTGAGGAGGCAGCAGCTAGTTTAAAAATTTGGTATTTATGTGCTGCTTCTGAAAGATAGCTGTGCCTTAAGATTTCCAATGCAACAAATCTTTTCTGCTAAATGATCCACAAACACAGTGCTAAAACTGCAGCTTGTATGTGCCGTGTCTTTTGAGCAATTCCAAAAAGAAAACTCTGTGTGTAATTTCTCTTTTTTCTATAAAGCTAAGATCACCTCTCTGTTCTGGATTTGTGTTTCCTCACTCTCTTTCTCCTCGCTCTATTGCTCAACTTCCATCAGTCCATTGGCCTGAGGTCATGGCTACTCATGTAGATCCTATTCCTTTATCTGATACACCTCCTCCTCTGCCAGCTAAGAAACACCACAGGCAACAGCAGGTAACAGACTCAAAGCTGATAAGTTGGGATTTTTTTGTTATTGCTATGGTGGCCGTGAAGTTGATCTACATGGAAAGTTTTTAAAATGATGTGGTAGATCATAAGTTTGTGATGTTTTCTGAATGTTAAACTTAAAAGCACAGCTCATTTAAAAATGAATACAATGGGTTATAGAATGGTAATGATTAAAAAAATCTCCTTTCTATGAATCATCCAGAGGCAAATATGAATGTTTAGGAGCCATTGTAATTGTCAGAAGAGTTGCAACAGTAATACACCACTGGCTTCATTGGAAATCCTAAAATTAACTTTTGTTATACATTCAAACAATGCCTTTCAAAAGCTGTACTGTTTTTAAGCTGCCGGTTCATTAGAATAACTTGTAAATAAATGTTTTTCCTCTTTTAATTGGATTCTAGTTGTACACTGGACTTGAGTTAAAAAAAAATCTAAAAAAAAAAAATTAGATACAGGGACATGTATACAAAAAGTGCACATGAATTTAGTTTATTTTCTTAACCAGCATGCTTTTTTGTTGTGATATTTATATAAATCCTATGTAACACTGTGAATCAGGAGGTATTTCATTCTTTTCAGTGAAATCTCATACTATTGCCTTAAGTATATTCCATATAGAGCATAACTGAGCAAGTAGGTCAATTCCTTATGTCAAAACTGTTCAACAAATTACATTTGAAGCATTTCAGAAATCTGGAAGAGCGAAAGAAACAGCACAGGGAATGCATGTACATGAGCGATACTTTGCCTCGCAAGAAAACAACTCCAACTGTGTCACCACACTTCAATAGTTCTACTCTTGGACGAAGCATTACATCTAAAGTACGTAGCTGCATGCTATTAATAGCCTTCCAATTTTATATAAACACCGTGCTGTGTTAGAGGTAAGGTTGAATAGCACTGCAGCATCATATAATCCCTCAAATTCATGTTTGACGTTGGCTGTGAAAGAAATCTGCATTTGTTAACATGGGAAAAAGCATGAAACCTTCCATGCTTCCAGCCTTTATATTCACATCTGGAAATGTGGTGATATAATAGTCATCACATATTTACGATCAATATATTTCAAGAACTTTACTTGCAGGTTAGCTTGAATTGCTTGTAGAGACTCAGCAAGCTGCTTTCCTTTCAACCTCTAGCCAGTAAAGATTATGTGCAAAGTTAGAATACTCCTTACTTGTGACATAAAAAAAACAAAAGCAAGGGGGAGATAATAACTGGCAAACATTTTTGTTTAATATTAGAGATTGTTTAAAACTAAAATATTAATGGCTGACTCATTTGAAATGACAATGATACTAAGGACAAAGCAACTTATTTTAACATTAGTTGCTAATTCAACAAATGTTTTAAGCACATACTTATAAATTTCCTGCAGGGACATTTACCATTAGGACAGAGCAACAGCTGTGGCAGTGTACTTCCTCACTGCCTGGCAACCATGACCAAAGAGTCAGAATCAAGAAGGATGCACAAAGGTAAGACTAATTAGTTTCTGTTAAAGCCAGCACTTGTTTTGGGGGTTTTTGTTTGTTTGTTTGTTTCAGAAAATAAATGTGAAATTGATATTACTGTAATCAGTGGGGCTGTAAAATAAAAAAAAATTGCTCCTTGTTGAAAAACATAAGCTCTCAATGTCATTTACAGACTTAGCCAAAATGTTAAGATTATGGCATAGTCACCTATACAGATTTGAAGGATATGATCATCAAATATACTCAGCAGAAAATAAAAGGATACACATTAACTGGCTAACTTGACTCATTTGGGGACAATTTATTAAAAATATTACACGTTGTCCTATTTAGTTAGTTTAAATCTTTTCATTTTGCAATTTCAAAACAAAAAACATTTTTCACTGGCATATATTTTTTCCTGGATAGAGTAATTCCCTAGACAGTCATTCAACATCATGACTTGGTGCATGTATAGCTGCAGTATTGTAACCTGTCTTAAATATTTGGGCTATAACATAAGAAAGATGTTTACCTTGCATAGGTAGTTGCATATTTGTAATAGGAACGTGACAGTTCTGAATGCAAAAAGTACTTAATCTTTGAGATGTGGTCTCTTAAACTGTGAAATTCTGTGTCTGCTGTTGGTCTATTAGAATTGATGCACTTGATTTTTTGCTTTAACAAAATGCATTATTGGTAACTGTCCCATCTTCAAAAGGAATTGCTCCTTAGTTCCATCTGTCAGTTTCTTTTCTTTCTGGTGTCTGCATCATTACAAAATTAGTGTAAGAAAGCCTTACCTAGTGCTGACTAAGATGGAGCTGAAACGGCATCCATCCCTGTCTTTATAGGAGTTGTCAGAGCGAGCAGGTGGTAAAAGTAAAAAAGCACAACTGAAGGCAGCTATCTGCACTGGAGTTCTAAGTGCTTGTAAGGAACAAACTTGCTGAGGAGATACCATGACTTACTACATTCACTTCATAGATCTGCTCCAGTTGAGATTTGTTCCTTTTGAGCTTTATTTGTGCAACAGTCCCTCCACAAACCTGCTGTGGTGGCTAATGTAGCTTGATATATTTCAGATGCAATACAAAAGGAGCTGCATACCCAGCTTGGAAAGCTTTTGTGATACAATGCATTTGCCTGGGTGGAGTAGCCTGAAAATACATTGAGACTCATCATTATGCTCTTGTTCTGAAAACCCTTTATTTCAGTTTGAAAATAAATAAGAACTGCTTGACTAAATTCTGATGGCAAAAAATTGTATGTTATATTGGGACTATTTCTAGAAAATGATTGCAAAAGATGATGTTTGGCCTAAAACACAATTACAAAACCTAATGAAAGTTTTTTAAATGGTTATTACGTTGTTTTTTCCCATTTCTGTCAACAGACAGTTAAAAGATCTGCCTAAGATCTGCCTAAGAGCATAGGCAGATTTTTTATCTTTAGAGTGAAAAAGAAAGAAACTTTTCAAACCAAAACTGAATTATGGATTGAGGCAGGATAAAGTGAGATGTATTGGTTAAGGCACTTAACAGTGCTTGTCGTATGCCAGGAGCAGTGTGTGTGCTGTACTGCCTTCCATACTGGAAGATGATCATTATTCTTTAAATGATTCAACAGTTTGAATGGAAATATTGAATTATAAAGAGAACCTTTGGTGATTGATTCATACTGGGCAAGAGGATGGTTCTTAACAGCTTATTCTGACACGTGGGCTTTGTGAGAGAGAAATTATGTTGCTGTCAGGTGCTTTATTTGAACTCAGATTTGCAGAGTAAGAGAGACCACAAAGAGTACAGGAATACAAGGACATATTCATGGCGAAGTTTTTTACTGAGAGAATGGTGAGGTGCTAAAACAGACTGTCCAGAGAGGATGCCCCATCCATGGAGGTGTCTAAGGCCTGGGCATTCTGATCTAGTGCTTGATCTAGCAGCTGGCAACCATGCCTGTGGCAGGAGGATTGGAACTTGATGCTTGGGGTCCCTTTCAACCCAAGCCATTCTACAATTCTATTCTGTTTGCACTCAACAACAAAGTTTACTTGTGTCAGAAGCACTTGAAGAGTCTAATTGCATTCTCTAGTCCTTAAAGCAGAGTGGTTCTGGGTTGCAGAAAGCTGCTTTGTGTCAGCAGTGTATCACAGAAGTTTCTGTACTGCTCTTTCTTCAAGCTCCTATGTATCCCGTTATAGTGCAGAACCCAGCCAGGTGGCTGGTCATGTCCTAGTCTATGGGCTGTAATGCAGCCATAGAATCATCTAGAATGGAGAATACCTTCAAGGTCATCGAGTCTAATCATCCACCTGACCCACTGAGTCCAATATCACTAATCCATGTCTCTCAGTGCCACAAATACGTGTCTTAAATATCTCCAGATGAGGTCTCCACCACTTCCCTGGCAGCCCATTCCCTCTCCCTGAAGAAATTATTCCAAATATACTAAACCTCCTCAATCTCCTCTGAAGCAACCTGAGACCAGTTCCTCATGTCCTGTCACCTGTCACCTAGTGCACTAATCATTCATTGCCTTTTCAGCGGTGCTGAGAACCACTGTGCAACAAGGCTAATGAGCTCCTGAAGTGCTGGTGGCAGCTCATCACATTTCTCAAGTCTGAAAAGCCTTGAGTCGCCTTCAAGGATGGGCATTTTAGTGAGTTTGTATAAAATTTGGAGAAAGTGTATTCAGCATTTCCTGGAGGAAGTGAGCAGCTCAGCTAGTCACGGGTTTTATGGGAGAGTTACCAAATCAATAATGGTATGAATTCTCTCTGACTGGCTTTCTCCAATTGTTATTACTCCTGTCCAAGAAGTGAATATAAAAGTTTGTGATTAATAATTCAAAGTTAAAAATGAAGTCAAGAAATGAAGAAGAGGTACTCAAGTTTGAACATGATTTCCTTTGCGCAGGGACAAGTAATGCCCGTGAATAAGTTGAAGACCAGAACCCATGGAAACTCAGCAGGAATTTTTATTTATTTATTTATTTATTTCTGAAATAAACATGATCAGAATTACAGAATGGTTTGGGTTTAAAGGGACCCTTAAGATCACTTAGTTCCAACCCCACAGCTATAGGCAGGGACACCTCCCACTAGACGAGGTTTCTCAAAGTCCCATCCAGCCTGGCTTGGAATGCTTTCAGGGAGGGGCATCCACAGTCTCACTGGGCAGCCTGTTCCAGTGTCTCACCAACCCCACAGTAAAGAATTTGTTCTTAATATCTAGTCTAAATCTACCCTTCAGCTTTCTATCTGGGCAGGAATCTGGGCACAGTGCTGAGACACATGTTGGGTACCAGCAAAATGGTTATTCATATGCTTCTTCGGCTCTACCAAAAAAGAGTAGACAGAGGGCAATGTCTATATTTAAAGACAAACTGTGAGCTTTTCAAAGTAGTCTTCTTTTTGTTTTTGCTCTTTTTTCAGGAAAAGCTAGAAAAGGTATGAAAGCATCCCTTTCTCTGGCTGCAACTATTGTCATTTGGCAAAAGTACTGATGGCATCCGCACTGTCAAGTAGTTTTGGAAATTTGTGCCATCATTGTTAAATAATGATGGTTCTTCAAAAATTCTTTCTTTTTTAATGTCAAACAGACTGTCACAACAAAACTTCTGAGTAGTGCTAATGTCTGCAGAGCTGCAGCTTGGCGCAGGCCTAATTTTTTGCTTCTTTGCTCATAGCCAAACAAGTAGAGCAGAAAATCTGAAATTCTTTGCAGATTTCTAGGTGACAATGGCAAGGAAGACTTGAGTTTCCTACTTTGGCATGCTTCCATACAAAAAAAATATATATTTTGACATGTTAATGTCAGTTCTTAAAAAAGAAGAAGAATGGAAATAAAATGTTATGCCTGGGCCTTTATTTTATGAAGTACTGTTTTTTATCATACTTTGACAGTGTTGCTGTTAATAACAGCTTTTGCTTGTAGTTCTGACCTCTCCATGAATTTTTTGTAGTGGTGTATTTGGGTTATTTTTGGAATTATGTGACAAATACTAACAATTTTTATTTTTTTTTATGATATGGCTTTGGATATTTGGATGGATATCTGTAATATTTTGCTGAACAGCATGGTTATTAAGAGCATTAAGCTTACTATTTAAATATAGGGAATGCAAACTTGTGCAACAGGAAACATTTTTTTTAGTTCCTGTATTAGCTTAGCCTTGCAGCAGTGGCTTGTGAGTAACCTTTAGTGGCTCCTAAAGAGAGTTTAATTTTTTTAATTGCATGTTGTGTGAGTAGACACCTGAGCAGTTAATTCTTTAAAAAACTGATTTTGCACGTGTGATGTGTGACTGAGGCTGGAAATGAGAGGCATCTGGGGGGCAGTACAGAGCTCATCCCAAGCCGTGAGCTGCCCGTTCCCTAGGGCACGAGGAGCAAATGAGGGCATTGCATTCTGCATCATTTCTGGAAGCACATGCCATTTTGCAGCCAAATCCCTGTGCTGTATAGAGACATGCCTTGCGGTGTTTAGTTACATTTGCATGATAGCATAAATTTAACTGACTAATGTTTTACTTAAAAACAGGTTCTTTATCTTCGTAGAAAGTTGACTTTCCTTTAGGGAAAGTGTGAAAGCGATACGTTGCTCTGTACCTTTAAGATGGGCTTGTTTATATATAAACTATTTATATAAACTATGAAACTAACATTTGCAGAAGCTTAGTAAAAAAACATTCATTTGAATGCAGTTTCTTTCAGTAATTTATTCTTTCTCTTTTTCCATCATGAATAATTGAAAACCATTTCACAGGAGCAATTAGTCATTCCAAAGGTTCGAGTGTGAAAGGTAATTGTGTATCTGCCATAACAGCAGCATTTGCCATAATAATGGGAGGAAAGCAAACTGCACATGTAAATCAGTAACATCTGTGTTGTGTGATGCTATTATCTATGAATGCTGAGGTGTATTTGTATCCTTTTCATCTTTTTTACTAATCAGAGCAATTGAACTTAAACTGAAATGTATTGTTTCCCAAATGGCAAGTACAATTCTATTAGTTCATTGGAAACCAGCCTAAACTGTCTGCAGAAAGTCTTTGTACTGCATGGAGGGAAGTGCAGTGGACGAATGAGGAAAGAACTGATCTGCCTCGGGAATGCTTGTAGGCATCATTTCCTTAGTAATATGCTTTAATTACACAGCTTTAGTCATGCTTTTATGACACTTCTCTTTGGAGAATATTACAACCTTTCTAAGGTGGAGCTGTGGTTCTTCGGCCCCTGAAGTGAAATTCTCCCTGCTCTGACATGTCCCAGAACATAGCAGACATAGAGTAAACTCATGTAGAGAATAAGGCAGGAGAGCATTCCTAAAATGCCTCAAAGCAGCATCTTGATGGTGTCCAGTAAAAATCAGTATGTGAACACCGCTGCATTTGGATGTTTGTCCATACATCTTCCATGATTGTGTATTACTTAAATCTGTTTTCCTGCCTGAATACGAGGTTTTCCTTTAGTCTAACAGCCATTCTTAGTCGCCAGCTCAGCCACAAGCTCATTTCGGTCAGAATTGTGCAGAGGATACTATAAACTCTTAGCATCAAAACTGTGAAGAAGTGCTATTCTTGCATGGATTCAAAGAAAAGGTGGGCAGCGAAGTTGCATTCATATAAATTGAACCTTAAAATGTCTAAAATAATGTGAGCAGTTAAGACAACAGTTGTCTTTCTACTCTGCTCTTCATTAGACAAGCTCAAAAACCTTTCCATAAGTCTGTATAAATAATGCTGCTTTATTTACCAAAGACAATGGACAAGTTTGATAAAAATAATTTGGAAGAAATGTTTATAAAGGAGACGTAGTAAAAAAAAAAAAAAAAAAAAAAAGAAAAGAAAAGAAATTCTCTGTGGTCAAGAAGGGTGGGTTTTTAAAAGAGATGACTTCATAGAAAAACTAAAGAGTAAAGAACTTAAATATTGCAGAACTTCATTTATGCTTTTATTTCAAGTCACTGAGCTCTAGGGATCTGTGTTAATCCCATGGATTGCACTGCAGTTTCAAAATTCCAGGGAAGTACCCCCATGCTAGTAACTGATGAAGTGACAGGTAGCTTGTATTGTTTCAGCTGAAACTAAACGTTGAAAGCACAGTTATCAGAAACCAAAGTTCCCCAAGCAGACAAAAAGTAATGCACATTCAATAAGCAGCCAAACAAAAACTGGTAAACCCTTTGAGTATCAAGAGTTTCTTGTTTTTTTAAGACCTTAATTGGTGCTAATTCTGAATTCAGCTACTTTACTTTCAGGATTACATCTAGTTTATGTGTATTACATTTTTAAAATATACGTACAAGAATGTATCTTGAAAAGTCAGCTGCACCCACCTGCGTATGTTTGTGTCTGTCTTAGAAAAAAATTGTTTTTAAGGGCCTTACTTCAGTCATGACAGTATCTTGATCACAGAACAATTAAATCTAAGCTGGTATTCAAAATGCTTGTGCTTTTAACACACTGTGCTAAGTCACAGAATTTCTGTGTAATATATATGTCTCCTCTGAACTCTACAGGGTATAACCATCAACGTATATGTGAAAACCAAAGGCAGAAATCTCCTGAATTCTACAGCAGAACAGCATCTGAATCCAACGTGTATTTGAATAGCTTCCATTACCCAGATCGTAGCTACAAGGACCATGCCTTTGATACATTAAGCTTAGACAGTTCTGACAGTATGGAGACAAGCATATCAGCATGCTCACCAGATAACATTTCCAGGTAAATAATCTTCACTTCTGTTGTGTGATGGTCATAAGATTATAATTAAACAAGAGAACCTGTAAATGTTGATGCCATGTAATGTAATTGCTGCTAACTGGTAGAAAAAATGTAAGATCATTAAATAGATATAATATTTGTGTAAGCCTTCAGATATAATGACTGTCTTGTCAACATGCAATATTTAAACATATTTAAAGATGGAAGATAAAAAAATTGGAGAGACTTTGAAATGAGGAAGGCCACTCAGAAATCAGTGTCTGTCCTGAGCATCAATGATGAAATCCCTGACACTCTTTTCTGAGTGGGATAATTTGTGAGCTTCCTGTGAGAGGAAATTTCTTTTAAGATATCTGCCAGGGCTGAAGTACATTCATTCCGTATGTCCAGCATATTAACTTGCTGGATGCTTATGCTGAAATGCTTAGGAATCCTCTGGCAATTCTTTTTGCCCATTGCCTTCTCTTTTCTGGGTCAGTAGAAATGAAGAGCTGATACTGAAAGGCATAGAGCTTTCCACTGCTTTTCTTATCCTCAGAGACTGCCAGCCCAGATGCTGCAGTTGGAAAGAACATTAAGAACTTTTATTTAAAAAACAAGCAAGCAAAAAGCAAAAGCAACTGAGTCTCAAAATTGTGCCCCAACAGTTTTCTTCTCACAGTCTGCTTTTAATGAATGTGCTTTCCTTTCTGCATACGGTTCTGTGCCAAGAGGTTCACAAGCATCAGTGGAAGCTGATAATTAAATAAAACATCCTCACAGGATTCAGAATCTCTGGTGCACACAAGGATGGCTTTTTGGGCTAGCATGTTGTTTTATTCAGCATCTGTTTCCTGTAAGCACAGGAACCCATCAACCCACAGATTTCCTCTTTTAGTCTATCACTGCAATGTTAAGAGCTTAGAAAATACCCATGGCATGGATTCTGCTGGCTAAGATTTTGCTTGTTTGCAGAATCACATTCAGACTCAGGTTCTGAGGATTTTTGTTTCAAATAGATACATAGATAGTTTCTGGTAGCCACACACAGCTGGGAATTATTTCTGTGGTGATAAGTGCATCAAAGATGAAAGAATTTAACTAAGCTGAAGCATTTTCCCATTTTTATACGGGAAAACCTACTTCAATTAATCAAATTCCAGGTTGCTTGTTAAAATTCAATAAATAAATTTTTGCTTATGGCCCTGTTGCTTTTGTGGCCTGAATGAATTTGCACTGTTCCCATTCTATCTCAGTCCTTCATAGTCTGTGTGCTAGTGAGTAGCACAAATAAACATGTCACTTGGCACCCACTGCTGCTTGAGTGATCAGTTAGCATTTTCAGAATAACCCCAGGTCAAGTTTCTCTGTGCCCTAAACATTTGAACCCGTTCAGTTTCCTTGCATTGTCTATTGACTTTGGCAATGACAACACAGCTAGTATTTAATATAAACTGTTTTTCCTGAACAGCATAAAATAAAAAACAAAATAGAGTGCATGTCATAAAAATGCCACAGTTGTTAAACTGAGATGAAGCACCAAAATATGTACTGAAAGAAAGATGCATAGTATTGCTTTTTGGCTGCCTATAGGCACGAGATAGTGCCCTTTGCAAGAAAGAGAATGCATTTTGGCAGGGGTTTTTCAGAATGCTAGCAGAGTATCTGAAGTGAATACTTCCACTCCTAAATACTTACCTTCCTGTGGAAATGAAGAGTGAGATGGAAGCACCTTCTCAAAGAGTACAGAACAACCTCTATATTATCAAATGAGTATCTGCTGAGCCACAGTGGAGTTTACTCAACAGATTAAAATTCTGACAGATCATATGAAATAGAAAATCACTCCTTTGTGTTGGGCTTGTTTGGATTATTAATTACTAATTAATTATTAATTAAAGCATCAAATCGTGAAACACTAGGGTGCCTATATTTTAAGCAAAACATCACTATGAATCAAAGGGCATGAAAGGTATTCTGCACATCATGTGTCTGTGATATTTTAAGGCATTTATAAGTGTTTGAGGGAACAATTAATCATTGCATTAAGCTGGAACACTCCACAGCAGTGAGTATGGTAAATCTGTAAAATAAGATTTAATGAGAAAATCGCATAAATTGAGGCTAGAAATGTAGCAAGTCTGTGCACTGAGCCTGTGTGGTGATCTAGCAGCAACTACAGGGTGCACTGTAAATCTGTTTATCATCTACACATTAGGATCCCTTTGCTCTGAAGCGAGATACCATTGCAGAGCTTTTGGGTCCAGTATGCAGAAATGACACCACCTTTAACAGCAAGCTGAAAGTGTCATACAAGCACCCTTTTATTGCAAGATAGAGCCAAAATGGCAAAGATGATAGCTATGTCGTGATGGTCCAGGATCTAGCACGCTTTGGGATCACCTTTATTTCCTTGGCTTGCCAGTTATTTTAACTACCAGACACTATCTGACACTGCTCTGTCACTGAATGGCTTTTAGAGATACTTAGTAGTCCACCTTATTTGCATCAAGTATTTTCTGATGATGAGCTTAGCGGGACAAAATGGATGGTCCATAGCCAGAAAGTTCTAAATCATATTTTTAGCTGCTACTCATGCAACCTCTGACAATCAGTAACATGTTCTGTTAGAACATAATAACTGCTTTCATCCATATTCTGTTATCTGAGAGAAAATGATGGATCACAGTGGACTGTCAGGATCCATTTTAAGTACTTGAGTCTGTATTTTTCACAACTCCATGTGGAGAATGTGTATCATACACTTTTTAAGTCATTTCTGTTAGTGGCCACTGCACTGAATTGGATAAGAAAAGTATCAGCTCAATTCATAAATGGTTTGTGCGGTTTTAAATGTCAAGTATTCCTTTAAATAACTGCTATATTGTTGTTTGTTTCGTGTTTTGTTGTTTGTTTTTCCATACAGCGCTAGCACATCAAATGTTGCAAGAATAGAAGAGATGGAGAGACTTCTGAAACAAGCACATGCTGAAAAGACTAGGCTGCTTGAGTCCAGGGTAAAGTTAAATTTTATGAGTAAAAATAGGAATGGACATTTTAGTTAGGTAATACCTTCCTAAAGATTGGACCGTAAATAGCTTGCTCTTAATTGAGGCTTAAAAGAATTGCCTCTCCTCCTTTAGTTTGGTCTGGTTTTGTTTTCATGCTACATATTTGAGCCCATACACATTAACTGCTGTTTCAGTGGATGAGCTCAGAGAGTTGTGATCGGTGGCATAGAGTCTAGTTAGAGGCCTGTAACTAGTGGTGTTCCCCAGAATTTGGTGCTGGATCTGGTCTTGTTCAGCATCTTCATCAGTGAGTTGGATGAACGGGTAGAGCCCAGCTTCACCAAGTTTGCTGATGATAAAAAGCTGGGAGGAGTGACTGATACCCTAGAAAGCTGCGCTGCCATTCAGCGAGACCTGGACAGACTGCAGTTGAGCAGAGAGGAACCTGATGAGGTTCTACAAAAGCAAGCTTATGGGAGAAATAACTGTGTGCATCAGTGCAGGTTAGAGGATGACCTGCTAGAAGAGTGCTCTGCAGAGAAGGACCTGGGGGTCCTGGTGGACAACAAGTTGGCCTTGAGCCAGTAGTGTATCCTTGTGGACAAGAAGGCCAACAGTATCCTAGGATGTATTAAAAAGAGCATGGCCAGCAGGCCAAGGAAGATGAAGGGAAATTCTTAGAGACCTGGGACTGTTCAGCCTAAAGAAGGGAAGACTGAGAGGAGATTTGATCAATGTTTATAAATATCTAAAGTGCATGAGTCACAGAATCATAGAATGTCCAGAGTTGGAAGGGACCTCAAGGATCATGAATCTCCAACCCCCTGCCACATGCAGGGCCACCAGCCTCCACATCTAATACTAGACCAGGCTGCCGAGGGCCCCATCCAACCTGGCCTTGAACACCTCCAGGGACGGGGCATCCACAGCCTCTCTGGGCAGCCTGTTCCAGCACCTCACCACTCTCACAGTAAAGAACTTTTCCCTGACATCCAATCTAAATCTTCCCTCCCTCAACTTAAAACCATTTCCCCTTGTCCTGCTGTTATCTACCCTTTCAAAGAGTTGATTCCCCTCCTGTTTGTATGCTCCCTCTGGTACTGAAATGCTGCAATGAGGTCACCCTGCAGCCTTCTTTTCTCCAGGCTGAACAAGCCCAGCTCCCTCAGCCTGTGTTTGTAGGGGAGGTGCTCCAGCCATCTGATCATATTTGTGGCCCTCCTCTGGACCCTCTCCAACAGCTCACTGTCTTTTTTGTACTGGGGGCTCGGGCTGGGCTCTTTTTGGTGGTCTGTAGTGATATTAGAGGAGCAAATGGCCAAAAACTGGAACACTCTTAAGTTCCACACAAATATGCAGAAGAACTTCTTTATGGTAAGCGTAACTCAGTACTGGCACAGGCTGCCCAGAGAGGTTGTGCAGTCTTAGTCTGTGGAGATACTCAAGACCCATCTAGCTGCCTAACTGTTTGACCTACTGTAGGGAACTGCTTTAGCTGCAGGGTTGGACTCGATGATCTCTTGAGCTCCAGTCCAACCCCTGCAATTCTGTGATTCTGTGAGTTCAGGGCAAAATCCCATCAGAAGCTAATCAGCATTACTCTCATACCTGCTAAAAGAGTCGCTTATGAAAAAACATCATTTCTAGAGTGGTGATATCTGCATTTCTAATTCCTGTTCTTAGTCCACTTTGCTGGATGTATATTGCCGCTGACCAAAGAGGCAAAAAGGAGTTTAATCCTAGCTAGAAATGACATATGAGGTACAGTTTCACATATAATTGTCCATTTGGCCTGTTATTTAGGAACGGGAGATGGAAGCTAAAAAGAGAGCTCTGGAAGAAGAGAAGCGTCGCAGAGAGCAACTGGAAAAAAGACTGGAAGAAGAAACTAGCCAGAGACAAAAACTAATTGAAAAAGAAGTGAAGATACGAGAGAAACAAAGAGCACAGGTGAGATACATTGACGTGAAATTTTTTTGGTGCAGGACTCCTGCTATAGATGAAGTGAGTGTACTTCTGCAAATGGTAAGCAGAGTGACTTCCATTTAAATAAATGGATTTAGTATTTCTGAGGTGCATCTGTGTCACTAGGAGTTTGTTTGAGCCATTGGAGTCTTAGATGTCCGTGTATTTATTTAAAACTAAATATTAGCTTAGATCTATTCAGCATCTTCTATCTAAAGAATTGTTGCTTCCCAAATGTTTGACTGGGAAAAAAAAAAATAAAGAAAGAAAAAGAGATAAAGACACCTGTTTCTTTATTCAGCTACAATTGAGAGGATCTGCATGGTACAGCAAATAGACTAGATTGGCAGGAACACAAAACCTACCTGTCAGAAAGAGTGATCATTTTCTCTGTTTTGTTCTTTCTTTTATACAGTGACACCCAATTTCCAGAGTTTTTCCCTCCTGTACTTCCTGATGGTTAGAAATGTCAACTAGGGGAAGGAAATCCATCTTCACAGTTGCCAAAGCTAGTTCCAGCTTGTATCATAAAAGACTGCATAATTTTAGAAGGGTGTTAAGAGTTCTTGCAGGCAACACAGCTTCCATTGCTCAAAGAGATTAGTTGTAGAGAATGCAATGAGAGAAAGTCCCTTAGATTTGTGACTCACAGTGGTATTTAAAATGCTAACTATAGGCGTGGAACAGGGGCAGATTAGGTTATCAATGTTCTCTGAAGTCAGTGTACAGAAACTGCTTGCATGGGTCATTCAGGGCAGCTAACCTAGGCTTCTGTTCTGAACAGCCCTATGTTGTATGTCTGCCCTGACTGCAGCATGAGCCTTGGGAGATGAGTGGTCTTCTGCATTTAAAATGAACTTCTGTGCCTAGACCCTCTAGGTATAGAAAGCAGGCATGCTCCCTTTTAGCTGGCAGAGATCCCAGATCACTCCTACTTGTTCTCCCAACTTATCCTGTCTGTCTTAATACAGACATTGTCCTGAACTGTGACCAAGAATGAGGCACCATTTCCTGTGCTGCTTTGCTATCTCTTGCAAAGGGATACACTTCAGCAATCTGTACTGTATTGCTGACTGCAAACCAGATACCATGTTTAACTAGTTCAAAAGTAGTTCTGTTTTGTTTACAGCAGTATTTGTTAGGTTACGGTTCACTCTTTCTTCCTAATTTTCCCATAATAGTATGTTCTTGCTATTTATATTTACATGAAGATACCTTAGCACTTAGATGAGTTAGATGTATCTAGCCCAGAGAGGTAATAGGTTTGCTTAACCTCCTGCCAGTGAAGTTCTCACACTTCATATAAAGCATTAACACCCCTTTCACATTTAACGCATATTTTAGTTCTAAACCAGCTATTCTGTTTTGCCAGCTTATCAACTGATGATTTCAGGAGACTTCCATGTTCTAATTTCACTTCTATAAAGGTGCATACACTTCTTAAAAGTAATTTTAAGAAAACAGGCTGCAGCAGAACTTATTTCTGTGATCTTCATTGTGAGAATGTATGGGCAGTTGACAAGTAGTCCTTGTACTAGAAAGGGTGAAAGAGAAGTGAAGACTTCCATTCAAATAATAAGATTTTCTTTCCTTTGTTGCAGGCTCGTCCATTGACTCGCTATTTGCCCATTAGAAAGGAAGACTTTGATTTACGAAGTCATATTGAAACAGCTGGTCACAACATAGAGACCTGTTACCACATCTCCCTCACAGAGAAGACCTGCCGAGGCTTTCTGATTAAGATGGGAGGGAAAATTAAAACATGGAAAAAACGATGGTTTGTTTTTGACAGAAACAAGAGGACTTTTACGTATTATGCAGGTAGGTTGCGGAATCGATGTTAGGCTACATCTGTCCCTCTATTTTCCTCTCAACTCAGTTGTGTTATGAACATATGGGGAGTCCCAAGTAAAACTTATATTTCCATTTTATTGAGTATTTTACTTGCACACTTGGGGAGGGTCCAATTCTTTCTTATAGAGTTTAATACTAATTGCCAAATGATGCAGCAGTGCCTAACAGTCAGAGGGAGACATGGATACGCAAGAAGAGGAAGAAAGATCATTAGATTTCTCTCCACATAATCTATTTTTAAATGTTACATACTTCCCATAATGACAGAACAATTTATTGTACCCTTTGTAGAAGAGTAACATTTATGATACTTACCATTAAAATTAAACTGAATGTTTCTGCAACCCCTAATCTGATGTGCTGAGAAGTGTTTCAGGGTATTTTAATACACAAAAGTAGACTTGGCATTTGCCATGTTTTGAGAGTCTAAGGAATTTCAAAATGAACAACTTGTAACAATTAAGTTTTCTGTAGACTAAAATGTGTTATGGTAACTGGAGCCATTATATAAACACTGCATTGTTACCTTAGGTCAAAACCAGATTTGGAATTTAAGAACTTGCATATCTCACAGAATGCTGTGCAAATCTATACGTAAGTTTAATGTAAGTTTCAGAGGAAGGCAGAAAAATGGTAATTTTTAAACATCACAAGAGAACATCTGGTACCACAAAAACCCAAGCAATTCCATTTCTTTTTATGATATTATTGCTTTCCAGCAAGTCATGAGGAACTTAAAAGTTATGCATCGCTCATCATCTTAAAAATACATTGTTGGAATTAATTACATATCCAGTGATGATTCCTTACAAATTTGCAGTAATTCTTGGAAGAATGTGATGAGCAAACATTCCGTTTTACTTTGTTCTTAACATCTGGTTTATTGGTTAGCAAAGCCTATAACATACAGTAGGGTCCTCGTCAGGTATGATTTTTTTTTTCTTAAACAGTTAACAGTTTTGGTTTTGAGTGCTGCACAACTGCCATAATGCAACTTCAGCTACCAAAGAAAACTTCTCCTAAGTCACAAGGACTCCAGCCCAGCAGTTTCATAAGAATTCTATACTAGCTGGGCAAAAATGCAGCTGCATGAGTGAGGATCTGCCCACATCTTAATTGTACAGTAGACTTACAAAAAAGCATTTGTAAATTATGAGTAAATGCTAAGCGAATGTAAGGCTTTTGCTGTCAAATTGTATTTCAGATTTGCTTTTCATAGTGTTCCCCTGAAGGAAAACTGTGGGCCTTAGCCTGCTAGCTGTGTTGTAAGACTTCATCAGCATCTGAAGTCTGGTTTTCATGGAACTGGAAGTCTGCCTTAAAAACAGTCAAATTGAAGGAAGCCTTATTTCCTCAGAAAGCAGGCAGAAAAGAAGAGCAAGTAGGAAGTGTATCTCTTGAGAGACTGAAGATTTCTGGGGAATTTCACAAGCAGAAGTGTTAATCCAGTTACTTATCTGCTGAACGTGTATGAAAATGCTGAATAATGTTTTGCTTCTTGAAGAATCATCCGTATCAGTTTTCAAAAACTGTTCTCTCTTCTCCATTCCAGATAAACATGAAACTAAATTAAAAGGGGTAATTTATTTTCAAGCTATTGAAGAAGTCTATTATGATCACCTAAAGAATGCATATAAGGTAAGCTTTGTTATTTTGCCTGAGTATCTTGTGTATGGCAGTATACTCTAAGTATGGCAACTGCAGTAAAATCAAAGGGCATTGACATTATAGAAAACAACAAACAAACAAAAAAATAAAACAAAGTGGAGGCAAAGGAAGATGAGGCCAGAGCAGTGATAAGCATTGTTCTTTTATACTGTTGAAGCAGAGATAATAGAGCCTTCCTGCCACATGATGGTCCCACATTGACATCTGCTGTGAGGAGTGCCATAGTCTGCTGCCACTAAAATTAGTAGCTCTGGCAAATTTAAGAAATGGCTGCATGCAGCTATCATAGGGAGGGAGGTATGTGCTACGTGCTGCTCACATCTACAGTTTAGATGATCAGTCTGAATATGAACAACCTGAATGTCTTTAATGTGTGGATTTGTGAAAGCCAAAGTGGTTTTGACCATTGGACACAATCCCTGCTGAAGGGGACTTGTTTGGGCATGAAGCAGCAGTTTGGACGCCTGTACTGGTATGTGATAGTCTAATGGAAATATGAAAACATTGATACTGGATTTGCATATAAACACATCTTTGTTCCCAGTGCTGCAGTGTAGGGTGCAGTGCCTTTTTCCCCCTTAACCGTGCCCTAAATCTCCTTGTAAGTAATTTTATTCCTGTTGCCAATAAATAGCTTTGATTTTTCATTGCTTTGATATCTTTCTTTCTGCTGCTTTTTTTTTCTTTTAGAGTCCCAACCCACTACTCACTTTCAGTGTTAAGACACATGACCGAATATACTACATGGTCGCTCCTACCCCAGAAGCCATGAGGATATGGATGGATGTTATTGTGACAGGCGCAGAAGGCTACACCCACTTCATGTTGTAACAAAACGGGGCAATAGGGCATACTGCAATAACGTTAATGGATGAAGTCAGCCATATGTAGTAAAATCTGAAAAGCCACATAAAATAACAATGAATACTCTGAAATATCCTCCTCATGATGTGCAGCCAAAGCCTCAGGATGGAAGGGTTTTCTAAATGCACTGAAAAGGGGGACTTGCTACTTATTTTAGTTGATCTTTCTAGACACAAAAGAGCTAAAGCTCTTGAGAAAGTCACAGTGCTCCGAAACAAATAAACTGGCCACTTATATGACAACATCTTGATTCAATGATAATTTTGTACCAATTGTCTTAAACAGAGAACATCTTCATCAATAGTTTACAAATGTGTGTTCTCTCATCAGTATGCAAAAATTCTAGTATCAGAACAAAAGTGTAATAGCATATATTTTAATATGCCACATTTGACATTTATAGATGATTAGGTGACTTTTAAAAACTTTTAGTCAAGTATTTTATAAAACCATGAATTAAAAAGCTGCCCTAAGGTACACACGGTTCTTGCCTTAGTAGTTAAGTATTACAACAGAGCCAAAGAGTTATATGACTCCCTTATTGTAATATTTCAGATTGTTAGCTGTATTTAACTTCCTGTAGGGGGACAGTGCCAAAACTCTTCATGACTTGTACAAAACCATGTTAAACCACCCAGTGATACTGACTGTAAGTTTTAAGTCTATATCTATGAAGCTCAACAAGAAAAGGACAGCTTTATAAAGATGCATTTATCCACAAGGATAAGAAATGGAAACATGGATTAACTTTGTCAGTAGGAGGACTTTTGTAGTCTTCCGTGATGAATGGATTGAGCGGATTCTGGACACTGCAGCGATTTCATGTAGTCAAGACCCACCTGATGTGGTTCTGATCGTTCTCTGTGCCAAATGAACACTTGGCTGAAACCTCAGATGTTGGTCTCCATGAAGCAAGCATTGAAGTATCTACCTATCAAAATTTTTTTAAGCAATGTTTTTAGCCAAGGAGACTTTTTAAAAGTGTGTCTACTCAGAATAATGCTATTAGAATAAAAAAAAAGCAAGCTCTAAGGGTTTACACTGAGCAGTGTATGGATAAATAGCATGAAAATTTTAAGTATCAGGGATTGAGACTCCGAAGACAGTAAAAACATGGAGGATACAGTGGTCTCCTATTTAAAAATTACAAATTCCAAATCCTTGAGAAATACTGCAAAACTTAGGTGAATTGAACTTCAAGAAAGTCTCTTATTCTTCGACTTTAATGAGGTTCTATTTCAGTAATCAATACTTGTGCTATGTAATTTGTTTGTGTAATAAGAGAAAGCACGTAAGACATTTTTCACGATGAAAAGGTAATGGCTATTGATGAAGCAAATGAAAAACTGAAAGCAAAACAAGTTTGCTGGCAAAGTATTTTTCTTGTACTGTTTCAACCCTGTATCTGTTAAGAAGGGGATGCACTCTTCCTTGTATGGTATACACAGGTGATGTGGTTGCTCTAGCATGACATTTGTCAGTGTTGACTTGAATCATGAAAGAAGGGACAGTTGTCACAAGATAACTGTTATCATCTGTGCAGATCACAGTTTATAATCCAACAACTTTAAAACACTATCAGAATAAATTGCTTTGGTATATGTAATTATTATTTTTCCCTGACGTATCTTGATTTTACTTCTTAGTATAGTTATAAAGGTTTTCTAATCATGATTTTTGTATCCTGCATGATGCAATGAAGGCATTTCAATAAACGTTTTTAAAAATACACTTGTTTTAAATGTTCACTTTATTCTTGATGCATTTCTGTTTGTCATTTAAATTATATTTTATACATTTGTGCAAGCAATGTTGTGTTAATCAATAAAAGTTTAACCATTCCACGTGTTTCCCCATAAAAGAGCTATGGAAAAAAAATTTTCAAATGAAGTTACAAGGGAAGGGTCTAGAAGGGAAGACATATGAGAAAGGGCTTAAAACTAAACTATCTCAGCTGAAACTAAGATAGTATCTACCCTTATTCCATACTGTTTACATCACTCTCAGATCTCACAGTTTCCCATAATCCCAACTAATTGCCATTGCCTATCTTGCTTTTTGATTTATACACACACCTATCATTCTTCTGCTCTGTAGGCCATCCCTGTATAACGTCTGTGCAGTTCATTAGTCCATGACTTTGGGCTCCACCTGCCATAAGAGTCTCTCAGGGCAGGAGAGATGATGGATGGTATTGGATTACTGCATGCTGGAGATAGTTCTGGTTCCATCAGAATTTATTATTCTTTAAAATAAATATAAATAAAATAAAAAATGGAGTCCTATGGAACTTCACTAGTGACCAGTCACCAGCCTGATGTAACACCATTTCCAGTAACCCTATGAGCTCAACCCATCAGCCAATTATTCACCCGCTGCATTGTGTTTTTTGTGTTTTTGTCTAGCATTATGTCAGGCGCTTTGCCCAGATGGAAGTTGTAATGAGAAACAGTACTGAAAGCTTTGCTGAAATCAAAAAAGATCACATCTATGGTTTTCCCTAGGTAAACTAGGTGGGCAATCTTACTGTGAGATGATTGAGATCATCGTCACGTCTCCATGATGGTGACTGTATATCATGGCTTTCCAACCTCACAGTGATCTCCAGCTCCTCCTGTTTATTACCCATGCTGCATGCATTAGTATAATAGCACATGAGCTGGTCTTCCTTTTGAGTGGCAGTAGCCCCAATACCCTCTTGACCATACTCAAGTGCTTCTGTAGCCACCAACCTCGCACCAACCCTTGTGTTCTTCCTACAAAAGAGTTAGTGGTCCTCCTTCTTCACCAAGACACAAGACTGTGGGATCTTTCTGGCACATCCACATACAATGCAGAGCACTGTATCTGTTCCACAGGGCAGCTGGGCAGGCAGGGGGATGCCCAGGAGAGCGCGCCTATGTCACTAAGCAGGGACCTGTTGCCACTGCCCCACACCCCCTGATTCTTCACCGTTGTTGCTAGGGGAGGAGAGGACAGAGGGCTCACTCTAGCAGGAACGTTGTTTGCCTGCTAGTTCCCCTCTGTCACCTGTTTGAAAGGTGGCAGGGGGTGACCGTGCTCCACAGCTTGCTGCTTAGATCTCGAGGCTGATAGGGTTTGGCACTGCCAATGAATCTCCCTCTCACATTCCTTTATGCTCCTCAGCCTCTCCGCCTCCTCCTTCAGGTCAGTCACAAGGCTGAGTAAGCCATTTAGCTAGGTCACATCTTACACAAGTGCTGTCTCCCTTACCTAGCAGTGCAAAGGCCAGGCTCTGGCACTCACCAGCCACAGACCTGCGCACTACCACGCTGTTGTTTTGGGACCTGATTCTCCACATTTTTCCTAGCTGCAGCTTTCCTTTCATGTGCGCATGAGACTTCAGTCTGGGTCTCCACATTTTTCCGGGCAGTAGCCTTCCGCCCGCCGGCGTGCAGCCACGGCAAACCAGCAGGTTCAGCAGCACTATTCGGGTAGCCTTAATGGGCCGGACTGATCAGCTCTGCCCTGCTGCCGGTAGTGCTAGCACTGCCCTCGCCCCGTTAGCGGGCCTTTAACAGGTGCCCCCTCACTTATCGCTCTTCGCAGTGATTAACAACCCTCCTCAGTGCCGTGAATAGCTGACTTACGGTTGCAACGCTTTTGAACGACCCACGTGAGCCACACGACCTGACTCCTTCCAGAGGCCTTTTCTAGGCAGGGGGCGTAGATGCAGAGCCGTTGCCCTGACGACAGCCATGCCAGCCGGCCGGCTCTCAAGAGAACTGCCGGGCTACTCTGTTGTCTCAGGGCTCCCTGGGTGAGGGAACCGACCGAAATCGGCCTGCACCTCGCGATCGGTCGCTGCCGTTCTAGCCGGGACAGCTCGGAAGCAGCTAACCTAGGTGATCAAAGAGCGTGGGCCAACATGTACCAACTCGTACCAGTGTGTGAAAGAAGAAAGCACTGGCGACTGGTTCACCCAGTTGCTTGCAGTCACCAGCTGAGCTGGGGCTGGCTTCAGCCCTCATACAGGCTGGGAATGAGACCATTTGCTCTGTTAGAAATCTCTGAAACCACGGCACAAATGCACTCCACTGAGAAAGGCCCCTACCCAGCAAGTAAGGCCGCATGTGAAACGCAAGACTTGCACGTCGCTTCGATCCCCAGAGCCATGAAGCCTACAGGAAGGAAAGGAGAGTGTCCGACCTGCAGGATAGAGCACTGCACAAGAAGGCTGTGCACACGGACTTGAAGACTTGGGAACCTTTTGCTGAAGTATTTCCTATGTCAAGAGGTCCTGTTCTGATCAAGAGCCAGTATGCTCTGTGCTTCAATGGGAGCTTAGAGACGAAAAAAAGAAATGAACAGAAAGGGGGATATTTGGATATTTTCTGGATTTTTATGTAACTTTACTGGACCGGTCACTCTGTGGCTAAGTTTTGTTTTTCAAGAAAGCAAATGTATGTGAACGTGGTTGCAGGTGTGGATTTAACTTTTTGTTCCTGAACATGTCTACTTTCTGCTCCATCTCACACGCCTGGAAGGGAACCCTTTTAAGGAGTACCTTTGCCAGTGGAAAGAGTAGGGGACAATCGCTTTATTCAGACTGTATTTTAAAAGCTGTACATACATGGTGGGTCGACCTCAGCTGTTCACCCAGTGCACACCATGCTACTCTCTCTCTCCTCGTCCTCAGCAGGGATGAAACGGCTTGTGGGTTGACATATGGACAGGGAGATCTCTCCCCAGTTGCCATCACAGCGTTTGGAAGATGAATTCAATTTATTGCCAGTTAATGACAGGGTTGAACAGTGAAAACTAAAAACTCCTACAACTTCTACTCTTGAGGCTCAACTTTACACTTGAAACTTCAACCTCCTCCCCTCAAGGTGAGCAGGACGGACTGGGAATGGGGCCGTGGTCAGTCCTTAATGCTTCATCTCTGCTGCTCCTCCATGGTCTCTGTCTTCCCCCATGAAGGATGCTGCTGAAGCTAGATCTGATCCTGCATGAGCTTCCCACAGGCTGCAGCTCTCCCAGCACTGCCCCAACACGGCTTTGAACCACTGGGTATACTTGTCAGGCACTGCTCCACACAGGTCCCCAGTGGGTGGCAGCTCCCCCAGGCCCCCGGCCCCACTGCAGGCTGCTCTCCACGGGCTGCAGCTCCAGCCCAGGGCTGCTCCATGTGCTCTGGCTTCCTCCAGGCCTCATCCATTGCTGCACTGTGGGCTCTTTCATGGCTGTGCATGGAGATGTGTCCTGTGCAGTGCCCGTGAGCTGCAGGGGGACAGCCTGCTCCACCATGTGGAGCAGAAATGGCTGTAGAGACGTTTAATGCCCTCCTCACACTATCTTCAACACTGATGACGAGCTCTGGGAAACCCAGAGACATGAGTTGGAGGACTGTGACTGTGGTAAGAATAAACCCCCAGACAACCCCAAACTTGAGTAGGATTTGCTGCTGCAGCTGGATGCATACAAATCTATGAGGCCCACATGGGTTCATCGCGTGGAACTCCCAGGAGCTCCATAGGACTCCACCTAGGTCCCTTTCCTCTTCACAGTCATCCAGCCCCTCTGCCCTAAGCCTATAGCACTGCATGGGGTTATTGTGGCCAAAGTGCAGGACCCGGCACTCGGCCTTGGTGAACCTCATCCCATTCTCCTCAGCACAGGGATCCAGTCTATCCAGACCCCTCTCAAAGGCCTCCCTACCCTCAGGCAGATCAACACCACCTCCCAGCATGAAGATATTAAACAAGATGGGCCCCAGTACTGACCCCTGGGGGACACCACTTGTAATGGGTCACCAGCTGGCCTTAAGTCCACTAACTACTGCCTCCTGGGCACGGCCCTCTAGCCACTTCTTTATGCAGAGAAGAGTATACCCGTCCAGGCCGCGGGCAGCCAGTTTCCCCAGGAGAAGACTGTGAGAGACTGTGTCAAGGGCTTTGCTGAAGTCTAGGGAGACTGCACCAACAGCCTTTCCCTCATCTCCCAATCATTTGGTCACCCGCTCATAGAAGGAAATTAGGTTGGACAAGCACGACCTGCCTCTCAAGAACCCGTGCTGGCTGGGAATGATCCCCCAGACACCACACACGTGCCGTGTGATCTCACCAAGAGGATTTGCTCCATAACCTTCCCTGGTACCGAGGTCAGGGAAGAGACTGGAGAGAGGAGAGCAGAGGAGTGAAGCAGTGCGGCCATATTTGTGAAAGCACGCAGTGGTGTGGCCTTGTGACGGCGTGCGGTGATGTGGCTGCGTTTGTGACATCAGCAGACGAGTCACAATGGGGTGCCAGGAGCTGTAAGAGAGGGAGCAGCGCAGTGGCACTTCGCCGTAGGCCTTCAGTGAGTGCGGTACGCACCTGCTAGCGGCTGGCGGCTATGGCTCGGGTGGTCTGCATCACCCTGGCGCTTCTGGGAATCACGATTCTGGGGTTTCACCTCACGCATGGCATTATGTACGAGCACGTTCAGCTGCATTTGGAGCAGCTGAGTCGGGACATGGCTCAGATACTGGACAGCATGGACAGGTGGGACCAGTGGCGGAACTGGGCGGCCCAGGCAGCCCTGGTCCTTGCTTCCCTTCAGCACTGGCAGATCTGGGCCTTTCCTGGAGTCTTCATCCTGTTCTTTGGCCTCCTCTGGTGCATCAGGAAGACCAAGTTTTTACCAGGGAGCAGCAGCACTATTTGGATCTTTGCTGCCATCCTTGCTCTCTTCCTGAGGACCTTCATTTTCCTCATGAAAGTGGCT